AATTGAAAATCGCATATAAATGTAAAACATCGCACACATAATATTGATCATCGCACATATATTGTAAAACATCGCACAAATATATTAAACATCGCGCAAATAATGAAAAACATCGCACACTGATATTGAACATCGCACATAAATGTAAAAGATAACAAACACATATTGAACATCCAACATATATATTGCAAAATATTGAATATTGCAACGTTTGACACGCCATATCCGGATGGTCCGGGTATGGGCGCGTGGGACTTGACTAAAGGCTACTGCTGTCCAAGCTACACTGATGCATGCTACTATAGATCCCTTCGGTGTTATAACCTTATCAGGACCGGGGTATTTTGGGTCATCTCAGGACCGGGTGGCACATTATGCCCCCACCCATCCTAAATTCCAAATGCGAATACAGATTTTCCTAAAATGTGGCAGGAATGTTGATTGGCCAGTAAACAATATGACGTCATTAGGTTGCACTGCGATGACCTAAGTAGCACGCTGGTTTTGTGCCCAGTTTGGGCTTTAAAAAGTATTTTGGGCATATTTTCTACAGTTTTCATTCAAATATCGTCCAATTTGGCACAATTTGTTTGGGACATAAGGGCTTATGATCACGACGAAGTTCTGTATAGTCTACAATCTCCAGCTTGTAAACATCAAATTTGCAGTTATTATACCTTATCGCAAATTGGAATACTTTGCTCTCTAAGATTGACCGAAGCTATCTTTGATATTTGTACCTCCAAAGAGCTGGGTCAAATTATACAATTTTATCGAGGCGAGAATATTTGCTCTACTCTTCGGTACCAGTTGGTTTTCGTGGAGATTAAACTCCGATTAAAGTTCTGGTTCACCAATCGAATTGCGTCTAGATTTGCTTTCTGCCCACATTTTGTCTAAAATAAACAAAATCAGCCTCCAAAGTATCTCATTTGAATATTTATTCCCCGTTGCTGGCGTAAAAGTCCGATGGGTCGGCCCCATTAATTACCAAAATGTCAACAAGTTTGATTTTTTCCCCACAAGTTCAACAAGTACGAGTTAAATTTAGTGCTAACACCGGCAGACCGGCCTGAAAAGCTCGTGTTTAGGCCTCGGTGCAGTTTTTGGGGTAAAATCTGCTCGCCGTGTTTTGGATTACTTCTTGTCCGTTTTATGCAGAGGTCCAAGGCGGGCCAGATACAGCGAGCAATGCGGCTGCAGATTGTTGCGTTTTGTTCCCTGCTTGTTGCAGGTAAGAGCCCGTTTTCTTGCTCTATGTTGAGAGCTGTAGTTTACTCAAAAAAGGCGTTCCAGTGCCTAAGAGAAGTCTGCGGGTTATTATATGCACTGTTGGGGCGAGTGTTTAAAACTAAACAATAATCCAATTAGTTTTATGTCCACTATAATATACTTGTGTGTTTCTGTCAGGTTGCCTTCAAAAAGGGTCCCGTTATAAGGACCGAAATATTACTTTATGCCCTTTAATTTTGTTGAATTTGTTTATTTCAGGTCATTCCAGTTACGTTTGGGACAGTTTTATTCATGTTCATTTGTGATAGTCCTTATAAGGAAGAGTAATTGAAAATGCCAATTAAGGGACTGATGATAAGTAATTGCTTCTCCCCCCCCCAAAAAAAAAGAACATTTGCTTTATAACTAAATATATGCCTTCAAAAGAGAATGTACCAAAACTCGCATTTTTTTCAATTAATGTCAGAGGCAGATACATGAATTGTGTATGGGGGGGGGGGGGTTCAGGTCCGTCAAGCTGGTTTATGTCCGATTGTTGCAGACAGGGGGACATAATAGGTAACGCCGCACATTGTTACCGATTCACTTATTGACATTTTGTTGGGGGGGGGGTTGACAACCCCCCCCCCTCAACAAAATGTCAAACCAGATTTACTTAAATTAATTCTCATCACTTCCAGGTTCGGATCCAGAGGGGGGGGGGGGTTGACAACCCCCCCCCCCCCCCCTCTGGATCCGAACCTGGAAGTGATGAGAATTAATTTAAGTAAATCTGGTTTGATTCAAAGGAAACTGTTAGTCTACAACCAAATGCAAAGCCAACTTCGCTCACACGGTTTTAAAACAGATACGTCCAGTTTTGTGTTTGACGTTTTAACAGCAGTCCCCTTGGTAGAAACTTTCTCCAAAAAAATATAGAGAGCACTTTTTTTTCAATTTCAAAAGTACAGTTCCAGGCAACTCCAATCGAAGACAGCAAGGTTATCAAAACATACGAAGTTTAACCTGGTGCATGCTATATAGCATTTCTCAAGAAACCGGGTTTTTATATTTAGACCCACTAACCTCGGCGATATTTTTTTCGGCAATTTTCTGACGACGCCGCCCTTAGAGATGAGCTCAATTCGTCAAGCCTGAGACAATATTATACGTAAAAGGAGCATCATTTGCAATTATAGAATCTTTGGCTTCAAGATGTTGTTCCCTGAAGGCAATTAATATTGGTATAAACTTCTATTATATTTACGAGCTTTTTTGGTGATGAGATACAAAGAGGGATGAGATGACCTAAGATCCACCCAATCCAATATGAGAGAAAATCACGCGCATTCGTAATCCTATACACACGCTTATTTGCGTGAATTAGAAACTTGCAAACTCACCATTTTATTCGCAGAAAGTTATCTCCATAATTTATCTGATATCATAGATTGTCGCCCAAAAGCCCTACATGACTGTGAGCATATGTGGTCATGTAGACAAGGAACCACTTGACTTTTACTCAGATAAGATTCGTACCAGGCTCGGTACAGATCTATCACGCCCATCAGGTACTAGGTCTGAATAACAAGGCTCATGATGCGACTTTATAGATTGGTTGACATTTAACCTTATAGTTTCTGAATCACGTAGATCTGGGCTGCCGCTAAACACAGAATTTTGCCCAAGATTTTTTTGCTGAGCATAAAACGGTCACAAGCAATATACCAGTAACACAATGACAATTTAGCTGGTACCCTGTAATGTTGCATTGGTAACAAATTTAGCAGAAATGGTGTTGGCGCTCCGTGAACTTTTCCCCATGCATGAGGCTTTGCATGGTGATGAAAACTATATCAGAAGTTTTGCGGCTCTTCAATTTTGAAGAGACGGTCTTCGATAAAAGCGAGAGGTGGCTCTGATAAGAATTGTGATCGGTATGCTCCGATCGTCACACTAAAAACTCCAAGTATCATTACACCTCACCTCCTTCAGGATGCATTAACTGTCCCCTATAGGTTGCTCGTCTTGCTGCATTCTGTCAAATTCCGTCGATCCACAACGGATACTCTTTATTTTGTTTTTGGGGGGGGGCAGTTGTTGGTATCACAGACAAATTTATTAATTTACAAACACAAGTGGGGAGTAAAACAAGTTTCATTTTTCTATTCAAGATTTCTCAAAATATATACCAATCTTTTTAATGTAAATTATCAGAAATGTATGCCTACTGAATATTTCAGAAAGAGGCATGCAACTACAAGGGGAAATGCAAGGATGTCCTCCATCCAATAAATTATTATCCAATTGTACATTATTACGTCATTGTCTTGGATGACTGGGCAAGCGCAAACTGATAGCCTGTACGAAAGAGGTCAAAATCAGCACGTGACAATGACGTAATGAACTTAATAATAGCCTTGGATAAAGAACATCATTCAGGCCTTTTTTTGTCTAATGTAGTTGCCTCCTTCTGAAATATTCAGTAGGCCTTTATTTCTGATAATTCACATTGGAGACACCCTGTATAAATAATATAAGTGCGTGTATTTGAAATGCTACTTGAACCTCTATTCAGTACATGTAATATAAAACATTAGCATAACTGCCGTTATTTTTCACGATCTTCTGTGGACGATAACATGTAGAAGAAAGATCCACGGCAAAAGATTCAAGGTTTTGAAATTTCGAAACTTTGAAAGATTATAAATAAACTTCTAATCTTGGTCACAGCCATGACATTTGAACCAAAATAATACTTTCTGCATGCCCGTGCTAGGAAAACAAGTGACACCGAACTTGTAACCTTTATCTTACTTTTCGAAGACCGGCATTTAGTTTTGTGAGGTCAAGGAACCAGGGAAGCATAAATAAATAATGAAGTTGAAAATAAAAAAACCTTTCCTATTATTTCATCGATCTTTTATATGAATTCGTTTTGGAATGTCCTGATGTACGCCGACTGCAAGTCCATTATGGGCCATAGCTATGGGGTATAGTTTTAGATTATAGGGATAAAAAAAGAGGTATCCTAACCGCCACTGAGAATCTCGCATCCAACACCACAAAATAGGGTTAATTACTTAATTTTGATAAAGTTGAAGGAAACTTGAAACCGGGTGAGGACCACCAAACATTTCAAGTAACTTTTTTTGTTGAAAATACCAGCTCCTATTTTGTTTAATAATAACTTATATACGCTTTAAAATGATTATTTCTCAACACAATGCTGTTTTCTCTATCTCATTTGAACACCTACATCCAGAGATATAGACAGTTAATTGAAAGGGACGATATGTCAATGTGGTCCAATGTGCATCAAAGTGGATGAAAGGAGATTAATATGCGAGTAATCTCTCTTTTGGCCAACCTTAATGTTCTTTAATTTGCCAATCAATATTTAGTTAGAACCTATATGATTCATTGATTATGTAACCGTTTGCATAATCATTGGAGCATCAACTTAGGTTGTTCCAACTCACTATTGATTGGCAAAGAACAACAGGTATAAGTTGGCCAACAGAACGATTGCTGACATGCATGTTTATTTAATAATTTCCTTACATCCACTTTCCTGCAAATCTGGACCGCTATACTCTGGCCAGGATGTAGGTGTCCAAATGAGATATAGGGAAAACAGCATTGTGTTGAGAAATAATCATTGTTTAAGGTATATTGAGCAAAATAAGAGCTAGTATTTTAAATATTTTTTTTTCTCTATTTTTTTTGATACACACTGTTGGTTTGTATTTTGTTTACACATTTGCACTGATTTATTGAATCTGCAGTTGCGGCACAGAACGGGATAGTGAAATGCGGGGGCAGTTGGCAGCAACTCGGCGAGAAATGCTTCCTGGCCGTGGCGGGCTCCAACCGCGACTGGAAAGACGCCCGGAGTGACTGCCAGACTAGGGCCGGAACTGATCTGGCTGTTATCCCTGACCAGGCGACCACTGTAAGTCAAAAACTGGGCCTGGGCAGGATCCAAGGATGGAAAACTGGTATTGAGGGGGAGTGGCTGCCACACACCGGCGGAATGTTGCGAAAATACTTGGGGGGGGGGGGGGAGGGGACCCAGATCATCATAATCGTCTTGTACTGTCGTTTATACTTATGAGGTCTAAAGGAAATTTGATATTTTTTGCCTAAATAAGGATAACTTCACAAAGTCACAGGATGTCATTAGGGGTTTCCCCTCTCTGAATCGGAGGAGCAAAATTCCGAGCAACGTTTTCTTTGTGTTTCGTTTTGCTTCGTTTTTAACCCTTTGGTGCCCAGATTATTTGGATTAGGTGCACTGAGATTATAGCGTGTCACCCTATAGAAATACTGAAAGATAACTCCACCTGGGAATGAATTCTGGCGTAAAAAAATGAAATAAAACCCTCTTTCCCAAACGTATTATAAGGGTTGAAAAATTATCAATTCAATATATATATTTTTACGTATTTCCTCCCGAATAGATTCGTTCCTGGCCCATTTTATTTCTCATGGAGAACTGTAGATGAACTTATTCAGTCAATACGTCAACTAAAAACAAACCGACAGATCGACGGACCGACAGTCCAACGGACTAGCGACAGGCAACCGACCGACCGACCATAACGGTCCGTGCGAGAGGTGCTCTAATCGGTCGGTCGGTCCAGATAGTTTGGCTGTCTCTGCTTTTCTCCTGTGCTGATCTTTGAAGGCCCAATAAATTTCTCTCTTTTTTTTCAATCCAGACTTTCCTACAGTCGATGTTGGCAGGGGTCACATCTCAGTATTGGGTCGGACTACATGACCTCCCCAATGAGAACGATTTCAGATGGGTCGACGGCCAGTCGCTTATCGATACAAACTACACGTAAGTTGCTTTGAAATGAGGTAGGGATTTGACGTTTTAAAATATGCCATGAGATCCTACTCAGTAATGTTAATTAAGTTGCATAAAACATGTAGCACTGGACAGTTTTTAACGTTTTTTTTCTTTAATTTGTAACAAGCCATGTCTCTCTCAATTCAGTATTTTTGTTCCGAGGCAGTTTTTTCCAACCAACTTATTACTTGAGCGCCCTCTGTTGCCGAATGAAAGTAATTTCATAGAAAGGCCGCAAACGCGGTGTGGTCAAATCGTGCCTTCGTGGAGTTGTCAATCGATCTCAACATATTCCTTCATGGGTACGGGTAAGGACGATCAACATTTATGACCTTGGCAACGAGTACATGTATAAAAAATGTATCACTTGTGAAGGTTTATCGTAAAAAGTCTATTTTTTTTTACAGGAAAGAGATTGAATTTTTGTGGTTCTGCTCAGGATGAAAACTTTCTTGCACATGTTGTATTAACTTGAGTAACTCCAGCTGACATGCTCCATATTCATTTACATGTAACGCTGGAGGAATAACCTGTTCGTTAGAATGTGCATGGTAGCAAGACCAAGAGACCCTAAAAAAATGGCCTCTCAAAAATTGTTCATTTTCACCTCTAATATCCCATCCCAGAGTTCATTTACATACCTCATACATTCAGCAGTCATTTACAAAGCCTAATGTAATGATCGACTTGAAACAGACTACAAAAAAAAATGTAAAAAATCTTGACGATTTCGGTGGATTGTTTGTAAAAAAAACGCCAGTTCCAACGGCTGTCGTCCATTTTGTTTTGCTAATTATGTAAATGTATGCATCACGTGATGACATCAAAACAATCTGCGCGCGCGGTGTATGTGGGTACCACACCGCTTTCAGGCGCCGCAAGTGAGTTCCATTTTCGTCTGCCGGTGCGATGTCGTGGAGAGCATTAATAAATAATAATAAAAATTGCATTTATTATGCGCATATACCATGAAATGTTCAAATGCGCATTACAAAAATTGTTTAGCTAAGATATTAAAAATACAAATTCGAATTAAACATTAATCTTAAATGTAAAAAACACTAGATATTTTAGAAAACACTGTCATAGCAATGAAACTTAAAATTACAAAAACAAGACCTACATTTAAAATAGATAATAGTAAAACCTTATACGAATGCCTTTGTAAAAAGAAAAGTCTTAAGCTTAGTCTTAAAAACTGTTAGAGACTGAACAGACTGAATTTCAGGCGGTAGCCGGTTCCATAAGCTGGGAGCGGCTTGTGCAAATGCACAATCCCCCATAGTCTTTAGCATTCTCCCAGATGGATAATCTAAAAGCAAGCGCCCATTGGATCGCAGGGAATACTTGGAATGGACCTTAACTTTCAACATATCTATAATGTATCTGGGAGCAAGATCATGAAGAGCCTTGAAGGTCAACAGAAGGATTTTAAAGTGTATACGAGATTGTATAGGCAACCAATGTAACTGATAAAGTAGAGGAGTAACATGGTTCCACGATGGTTTGCCACAAACAAGCTCGTTGTCTCATTGTTTGTTAGTATTTTCTAACAAAATTGGGAATATTTCTCAGTCCCAGATTCATGTCTTATCATTTTTGCATCATTGAGATGATAGCAAAAAGTGACGTCAGGTTGCAACATTTTTTTCCCATTTCTCTTCAACCTTAGGAACTGGGCGCCTAACCAACCCAACAACGGTTGGCTTTTCTCTGAGGATTGTGTTACCTTCAAACCGTCCAATGGAAAATGGAATGACGCAGCCTGTGACTTCGGTACCAGACCTTACATCTGTGAAAGGAATAGCTGTAAGTGACAAACATCTCAGCTGATTGCTAGTATGGGCCCTTGGATTAGCATCGGAGATGTAACTGACAGGCCGGGAGGGGGTGGGGACAGTCGTGTTTTTCCGTTACTCTCGAGGACGAGGCTTTGTCTTATCCTCTTTTCCTGTGATGTAACACTTTCTTGTAGACTAACCACACACCTTTACTCCTGAGGAACACCCTCAAGAAAAGACGAACTCCCGAGGACAACAAAGAATCTGGTGTTCTTTTTTTGTGTGATCTGGTCTCCGAGTGTGTGTAAAACATGTACATCCACACATGCCCACACGTTTGTTTATGGTGTAAATCAAGGATTTATTTTTGTTCCTCTTCCCTTTTCCTTTGTTTGTACCCTAACTTTTTTGCAACAGCTCTCACTGGTTTTGTACATGTTTTCTAATCGAGGTCATCCTCGATTTGGTTCCTGTCCTCGATTCACCGATGATGTTGCTCGTGTGTGTCCTCGATTTACACCATAAACAAATGCCTGCAACTAATTTGTGTCCCCATTCTTTGGAAAAACACACACCCCCCCCTTTATTTGGGGTAACTATTGAGCCTCTTATTAGTGAAGTACATAAAACGGTGCATCATTGGTTGACCATATTTTTGAAGACATTCGCTTTAAGTAGCGCAGTAAGGAATTATTCAAAGATAAATTGTAAAAAAACAAAACCTAAAAAACAAAACAAACCAAAAAAACTGTTTAGAAAAAAATGGATTGCAAAAAATTGCAAATGAAGGTCGACATTTTTCCACAATGCACTGCAGGCAGGCCGGCCGGCCAGGATTTAATTTCTTCATCGAACTCTGCAACTTCTCTTTACAGTGGATCTCTCGATCTGTTCAGTTCAAAAGCATATTTCTGAAAGATTGCACTTACTGGAAAACTTATCAAGGAAGATTGTTAGAAATTCCTCTTTTTAAAATTGTTTATTTTGCTGACCTCACTTTTCCCAAAGCATCCATTCCAAAATGTGACGAGTCCCACGGTTGGAAGAGCCACAACGGCAAGTGCTACCAATTCTTCTACGATTACCAGACATGGCAGACGGCCCAAGACACCTGTTCTTTCTACAAGGATGGCCACATTGCGTATGTCAAGAGTCCCGAGGATCAAGCCTTTCTGGACGATCTGCAGCTCATGCATGGCTATTCCTACTGGATTGGCCTGCAGGTAAGTGTCAGCAGGTGTTTTGACACTACGGGCTCCGTGCGCGAACCACAGAGGGCTTTTTTTGACCGCTTTTGCCTTGGGAGTCCCGCGGACGGGAAACACCGCATGTGCATATGGCTTGCTCGCATATGCGAAGGTCACATGACCTATTTCATTCTGAATGTGCCCAAAGCACAATGTGAAGGGCAGCCTTCAATATTGACTGTTTGCGAGGTCAGCGAAGTTTGCGAACTAACTTTGGTCCTTAGGGTCCGTGGAGTGTGATGGCCTAGCGGTTAAGAACACCGGACTCACGTTCTGGTGTTTCAGAGGCAACAGTGACGTGGGTTCGAGCCCGCCGGCGGACACTTGTGCTCTTAAGCAAGGCACTTAACCATTATTGCTTTGTCCTTCGAATGGGATGTAAAGCCGTAGGTCCCGTGTGTTGTATAAATGCACGTAAAAGAACCCAGTAAACACTTATCGCTAAGAGAAGGGGTTTGCCCCAGTGTTTCTGGCCTCCTGTATAAACTCGCACGTGGAGTATTTAGGAGAAGAGCCAACCAAGAACCAAGAACCTTAGTTACCAGCCAACAGCAAGCTCTGCAGGTTCGTTTGCATCGTATGACAATGCACCTTTGTTACGCTAATTTGCTACAGCTGCTGAGTTCGCGGCGTATGCGAACCTATTGTACACGGAGTACTTATGGCCATCTATCAATGCTCCGGTAATAAAATTCAAGTTTTTTTTTTTGCATCGGCGGTATTTGTTAAACGAGGAGCAAAGCGCTGCGTTCCCGAATATTTTCCTGAGATTTGTTTTTGATAGTTGGCAAATTTTTCGGCACATCGTTTGTTAAATGTTGAATGTTAAATGTTGACAAGTCGAAATCAATTTCCTGTTATCGGAATGAGGAAAGAGTTCCATACTGGGCCTCCACTCATATTCCCTGATATGCTGAAAAGTACCAAAAGTTGTAAATCTGATGAAGAAACACTATTTAAGGAGAGCCAACAATTTTAAAATACTTAAACTTTTTCTGTCATGGCCCATAGACTTAGTGCAGGAGGTCTGAGTGGTGGCCCAGTATGGAATTCTTTCCCGGAACGAAAATTCCTTACCACAAGTTTCTTGGCCCTTGGGGAAATATTTCAACTTCACACCTTGTGGTATTCATCAAGCACAAAGACTGCAACAACTGATTATATTTTCAGGAAGCATTTTCCGTTAAAACACAAAGTTATTTGTACGAACTGGACTTTTTATATAACTAAGCACCGATTGTTCTGATACCGAAAATGTATACTTACCGTTGAGGGAGTACAAATGCACCGAGCCCATCATCTCACCTACGCGTGTTGATAAATCAACGTGAGTTTCCGTGATGAGCAGAACAAGGTCAATCAAGCATGGGTTGACAAGGCATACCTTTCAAATTTAAAGAGGTTGTGGAATGCTCGAAGACATTTCCGTCATTTTTCGGGTATATGTAGCCTAAGGTGTGATGAAATAAAAACGACTATTGTTTCTGTCATAAAATGAGTACAAAAGGTACTTTTGAGAGCTGTTTTTCAAGTCCTGTCATGCCTGTTTCGACCCGATCGTGCAATTTGTGTAAAAGTCGTCGTTGCGGGCAGCAAAGAAAACACACTAAATCGTGACGTAATAAACAGGACTCCCGATGCAGAGTAGCATAAACGAGTCCTGTTTATTACGTCACGATTTACTGTGTTTTGTTTGCTGCCCGCAACGACGACTTTTACACAAATTGCACGTTCGGGTCAAAACAGGACCTGAAAAATAGCTCTCAAAAGTACCCTTTGTACTCATTTTATGACAGAAACAATAGTCGTTTTTATTTCATCACACCTTAGGCTACATATATCCAAAAAATGACGGAAATGTTTTCGAGCATTCCACAACCTCTTTAAACCATTTTGTATATGGCTGCACCATAGAGTTAGGATTTTCTATTAGGAGCTTCTGAACTTTGGTCTTTATCACTGTTTGATTATAACCATTTTGGAGCTATGTTGGAGTCTTGCTAGTGTGGAAGTGGTTTCTGAATATCAGATGGTCAGAATATAAGCAAATATGCTGTTTTGTGTCTCATTATTTTCTAATTCTCTTCATTTTTGTTCTGTTCAAAATACAGGATGGTAGCACGAATGGTGCATACCAGTGGTCGGATAAAACCAAGTTTGACCTGACCAACGATTTCTCCAATTGGGAGACTGGCCAGCCAACGAACAAGTACGTGGATGACTTGGGAGTCTTTCTCTAGAAACTACCTCTCAGACAATTGTTGCACGTAGGATTTGGCATTGCCATTGGGGAAGGGGGCATAAAATGAAAGGATGTGAACAAATTCTTCAATAACATTCCACAACTTTTTAACAAAAACAATTGAAATTACCCGTGTCCATGATGTCCGAGGACGGTTATTCAGGGGTATAAGGAATTGGTCTGAATTGTGATGACAATGGTATATCACATGCATAGTCACCTTCTTCAAGTTAGTTGATTCACTTTTGTTTATATTATTTTTCCAATTTTTTGTTTTAGTTGGTATGGTAACGAGGGTGATTGTGGGAATGTGGACACATCAGGACATTGGACCATAAGCAAATGCGACGACATGATTGATTACGTTTGTGAAATTCCTGAAGGTAAGAAACTTTGCTAAATTGTTTAATCCTTTACTTCTTGCAATTGTTTCCATTGTTTACTTATGCCAAGCGGCAAAAGAACGGTTGAAAGAATTTGTCAGTTCAGCGAAAGACATCGCGTAGCTGGCAATCGGCTGAATGAGAACGTGTCCCGGATGCTGATTTCGGGTGCAATTCAAAACATTACTCCACAACTTTTGAATTGATATCGAGATCCTAGAATATTGTTTTTTTCCTGGAATATGCAGCATCCACAGAGCTAAAATTTCATCAGGTTAGTTGTTAAGCACCCTTCTTTAGATTTTGAGCACTTTTGTCGCTTCAAATGAAAGAAATGCACAAATGACAAATGATCTACTCTACCCTTAAGGCGTTAAGTGGTGCATTCCCCTCCCTCATATCTGACTTTGCACAACCTTTCCACCCAGACGTGATAATCTCCACTCTACTCACAAGTCACTTCGTATGGAACGGATGTAAAATACCAGTAATCATGGGGAGATCGATCCCTCCAAGTGGCATTTTCCAAAGTCTGGAATGCTCTCCCTCCTGAGTTACAACAGATGTCTTCTCTTAAGCGAATTTAATTGGAACTGAAAACTCACTTGTTTCAAAGGCATTTTTGTGTAAAACTGTAGACATTTGACGTTCAGTGCATCTGGGCCCAATTTCACAGTGCTGCTAAGCACAAAAATTTGCTTAGCACAAAAACAGTCTGGCTTATAAAAAGGTTACCAGCCAAAACTCCATGTGATTTTCATGCTAAGCAAACAACAGCTGAATACTAATCACGAGCAATATACATCACGTGGAGTTTCGGCTGATAACCTGCTTTTATAAGCCAGACTTTTTTTGTGCTATCGGTACTCTATAAGACTCTGTTATTATTATTATTATTATTAACCGTGCGAAGAGAGAAATAGTTTCAGAAATAGTTTCAGAAAACCTTTTGTTTCTCTTTCTCTTGTCTGTTTGTTTGTTTGTTTGTTCTCAGGCGCCTGTGCTCCTGGGTGGTATCTCGTCAACGGAAACTGCTACCAAGTCAACTCCCAAACTCTGAGGACCTGGACCGATGCCAAACAGTATTGTGAAGCACAGCTGGCCTTTCTGACCACCATCAAATCGTAAATATTTTGTTTTTCCCTGTAAAACAGAATTCAAGTATTGCACTGTCAAATATACAGTATCAACATTCAAAACTTTTTTTTTTTAGCATCTCAAAACAATCAGTTTATTTTTCTCAAAGGCTGTTTCCTGTTTTTTTTTTAAAAATTTAAAACTTTTTTGACCAAATGAAGAATCCATATATTAAGATATGATGAAAAGAATGAGTTTGTTAGAAAACTTTGTAGTTTGTAGTGAGTGAAGCACATTCCCCTTCAAAACTGTTGGACCCCGGTGAAAAAAACAAAAAGCAAAAAAAAATCCTTTTCAATTTAAGTTATGAGAATGAAAAACTACACTGATTTTTAAATTATCAGTGGTTAATCCCTTTGTAGAAGAGTATAAATTCCTCTGTCCCAAATGTTTTGGGAGTTTTGAAAATTGCTTCGTTTGTGCCTTTCCAAAACATTCTTCCCTCATTAGTGGACGATGTTTGGTGCATCTCTACTGAATGTTACCGTTATGACTAAGCTAATGGCAATCAAACAAGATTCTTTTTTTTTGTTGAATAATAACTGTTGATGGTTCCATTCATTATAAGAGAGGTTTTCTTCTCATATTTTTTTCTCTTTTAATTACTGCTTTTCTCAGGGATGCAGAGAACAACATGATCAAATCTTTTCTGAGTGATCTCAACAGCCAAGGCATCAATGAGCTCTACATTGGGGCTTCAGGTTGGTTGCTGAGCTCAAAAAAAGTTTTTCATTTGACAGATAATCAGATAATCGCTAAAGAAGAGAGTACATAAGCTGACCTAGTTATAACAATCGATACTTTCTGGCAGCTTTTTAAACAATAAAGCCATATGCCAAACTGCTATATCAGATTAAAAACCAGCTGCTGCAAGGCCATTCTCACGGCCTGATGAACAGAGATAATAATTGTGTAGCGCTTTGAAACCTTCAGTGTAAAACGCTACATAAACATCACATTGTTATTATTATTATTAATTACAACTTTGCTACCTTTTCAGGCTGACAAGTTATATACACCTGGCACAGGTGTACTGTTTTTATCAAACACCCTGCAACATAGGTGGCAGAGGTGGGAGGAGAAGGAAAAGGGGGCGTGTCCTTCCCCCAACCCACCATCACCCCTGTTTGAAAGTTTCCTCCTTTGTCTTCCCCCTATTAGACCACAAGACGTTGGACCACAAGACCATTATTGCTCTGTAACCCCCCCCCCTTCACCCCCAGCCTGCTCCCAACTGACCGACTATCATATTCCGTCTCAATCATCTTCAGATCTCGAGAAGGATGGCACCTTTGTCTGGGTTGACGGCACGTCTGCCCGCTCCCCGTACTCCCACTGGGTCAGTGGTCAACCTCCAGACACCCCAGATCAGAAGAAAGACTGTGCTTACATAGACACCGGTTTGTACCCGATTTGACATTCAGAAATGAAGTTGAATACAAAAATAAAAGTTGAAATCTTCAGATCATTGAATAAAATTATTATCTGCCAAGTTAACAATGTTCAGTAGGGTGTATACAGGCTGAGTCAAAAAAAGCGGAACCCAAACCCAAAATATATTTTATATTTAAAAAAATATGTAGCACCAAACATAATAATGAATGGGAAGCCAATTTCATAAGCCACTTTTAGATGAATAAATGACTAAAATTGCTCAATCCGTTCAAAGACTGTCACCATTTAAACGCAATGACCCTAAAACCCGTTTCTCCAAAGTAAAAAGGAATTTATTGTGTATTCTGTTTGGAACAACAAAGAAAATGACACAGAATACTTGCTTCAATAACTGTCAACAAGGCTGTACACAATATATTTATTAACAACCCTGGTTAGGCAAAAAATATTATTTATGAAACCAACTTTTTTCTTACAAAACGGGCCTTCAAAAGGACTTTGTTGAATTTGTTTTACTTTTAAACTGAGGTTTTATCGCTGGTGATGTTTGAAGTCAATTGTAACGATGATTCTAGAAATCCCATTTTTGGACGAATGAGGTTTTAGGGTCATTGTGTTTAAATGATGATCTCTTTGAACGGATTGATCAATTTTCAGTAATTTTTTTTCATCTAAAAGTAGCTTATGAAATTTGGCTTTCCAGTCATTATTATTTTTGGTGCTACATATTTTTTTAAATATGAAAAACATTTTTGGGGGTTTGGGTTCTGTTTTTTTTTTGACTCCTCTGTATGAATAGTGGCAAGTTAAAAATCAGTTGTCCAAGTCCATCCATATGCAAGACCATCTATATAAGAAACACATTTGACCCAACCAAACTAGTGGAGTTAGCATCCACAATGCAGTGTCAGCCATTTCTGTGGACTGTTTTGGGATCTGTTCCAAACTAGTGGATTTAGCACCCACAATGCAGTGTCAGCCCTTTCTGTGGAGTGTTTTGGGATCTGTTCCAAACTAGTGGATTTAGCACCCACAATGCAGTGTCAGCCATTTCTGTGGACTGTTTTGGGATCTGTTCCAAACTAGTGGATTTAGCACCCACAATGCAGTGTCAGCCCTTTCTGTGGAGTGTTTTGGGATCTGTTCCAAACTAGTGGATTTAGCATCCACAATGCAGTATGAGCCCTTTCTGTGGAGTGTTTTGGGATCTGTTCCAAACTAGTGGATTTAGCACCCACAATGCAGTGTCAGCCCTTTCTGTGGACTGTTTTGGGATCTGTTCCAAACTAGTGGATTTAGCACCCACAATGCAGTGTTGGCCCTTTCTTTGGAGTGTTTTGGGATCTGTTCCAAACTAGTGGATTTAGCACCCACAATGCAGTGTCGGCCCTTTCTGTGGACTTTTTTGGGATCTGTTCCAAACTAGTGGATTTAGCATCCACAATGCAGTATTAGCCCTTTCTGTGGATATTTTGGGATCTCTTATATTCATTTTTTTAAATTACATTTTTAAATTTTGATATTTTTATAGCGGACAGCTTAGATTGTGAATGGAGAGCCGGGGATTGCTTCATGTTGGGAGCCTATGTTTGTCAAACCAAAGCAGGTAACTCCATCATCAAATCATATTAACCCTAATATTTTTGCTGGGATGCAACCTCAATCCTGCAATATCCTCCAACTGCCTCTATGTAAAAATAGCATACATTCCCAATCCTATCCTGCAAAATCCTCCGTTATGTCTTGAATGTGGTCCTTGGAGGGGTGACCACCGCCAGCAGTCACTGTCAATATGTTGAGGCAGAGCCAGTGACATCCTGGAGCAGTGCGGAGGATTTCAAGTGTAATCTAGGCCTAAATTTATGCGCGGCTGAGCATTAACAATGGCCCAAGACCTTGACACAGTGCATTCTCCGAAAATCAGCAACACACTTTTTGCCATGTAGCCTCAATCCTGCAAAGTCCTCCATTTTGCAAAGAGGACTTTGGAGGATTTGAGAAGGTTAGGGTTACTTATCGCCATTTGCGAGTTAGCCACGCCCCTTAGACAACCCTATGAAATTTTTGTACGATAAGTTTTGTTTGTCTCACATGTTGCGTGTTCTCAGTACGTCCATCTGTATATCATGTGATTGGACAATATTTCACAAGCTGCATTGATGCGATTCTGACGCGATAGGTCGGCCACAGAGATTATAGTGAACTGTAATCATGTCTAGAACCAAGGCAGCCACAGTTCAGACTGCTTTGTCTATTTCAAGGAGACCATAAGTACAGCCAGAAGCAGGTATAAACATCGGACCCAAACTCTGATGAAAAAACTGTGGTGGGGCAGGGAGGGGGCTGTTGGCAAAAATCAACAATAATTTGAATATTCCCAAAAATGTCCTCAGTTATGTCATTTGTTTCATCTTGTCTTTCCTGTACAGGTCACAAAGTGGAGTCCGTGCCTTCAACTCCCAGTAAGTTGAAGAACCCACTTATTTTGTTTTATCGAGATGAACAGTACAGATTTGAAATTACTGCATAAATTACTTGCTGTGACTTCATAAATTAAGGTTTGCCTTTGCGTTCTCATTGATGGTAAGCCAGCCTGTACTGCTTTCTCTTTTTCTTTGTTTCCTTCGGACAGTAACTGACCACTGTGACGGGCCGAGTTGGGATCTGCACAAAAACTACTGCTACGAGATTGTCCTGACGTATGAAAAGTGGGCCGACGCTGACACAAAGTGTAAAGCACTGGGTGCCGAATTGGTCAGCATACATAGTGACGATGAACAATCCTTCATGTCGGGTGAGACCATGAACTCTGACAGTATGTTTCATTTGTTGTTGATGTTGTTGGAAGTTGCCCATTAAAAGGGTGAAAGCAACTTGAGGTAGGGCTAAGGAACTAAGGCTCCCTTTACACAGGGCTGCGACCTTTGTACCACCTATGAGCGACCCAAAAAATGGTCAGGACGCTCAATGGTCGCCTAAACCCAGAAAATCCTGTTTCTATGTAAATGCAATTTTCGGGTATTTTTATGTCAAGCTACGAGCTACCTGTGCATCCACTGAGCCACTTGCCTGCCTCCCCTGTGCTTCCCCTGTGCTTCCCCTGTGCAACCTACGGCAACCAGCGCCGAATGGAGGCACAGCGATTGCCACAGTCATCGTTTAATGCACGCTATTGGTTGGCTTAAGGAGGCACAAGGGAGGCAGAAGCATATCGCCCAGATTGACGGTAAAATTTGCAACAGAACGAATCTATTACGTGGCGACCATTGGCCGACCATTGTGCATCCTTTCTGCAACCACGGCAATGCTTGTGTCTCCCTTCTGCCTCATTTGAGCCACCTTTGAGCAACCAACCTCCTCGGCGACCTTTGTGCGACTGTTTTGAACATGTTCAAAGGTTTATGGCGACCATGGCGTCCATGGCAATGTCTGAACATCCTGTGTACCTTTGAATGACCTAGGCAACCATTCGTGCCTCCTTTGAGCCTCCAACGGCGACCTGGCCAGTTTTAAGGTCGCAGAAGGGAGGCCCAAAGGTTGCAGCCCTGTGTAAAAGGGGGTCTAAGCCAGACACGGGTGTTGCTAACCCTGTACTCCAAAAGCACACCTGGGCGGTGCGGTTGATTATGGTGTACAAGTACCCCTTCCACTGTGAGAGATTTAAGGATATCTGAGTGCCATGGAAGCCGTGTGCCCAGTTTCAGATCCTCTGCAAAGAGCTTATAGGTTTGTCCACTGTCAAACAAAAATGAGCCAAGCAGTAACAAAACACTATCCATCTAACAAAACCTTAACATTGTCCATCTATTTCTACTTTGTAGTCCGTATCAGTGTGATGAACCAACGTGTTTGGATGGGACTGAACGACCAAGCCACAGAAGGGACCTTTGTCTGGACGGATTCGACAAACGTAATAATTTAACTCCGTCTAAATAATACTTGTATCAGCTTAACGATTTTGGGTTTCTGACTTAGGAGATTGCGGTTCAGTATAGGTGTGGGCAGGATCGCTTTAGCCGATGTAAACATCTATCCATTTGCACACCAGTTTTCATCGGTTGTGATGAGTTACCATTTATCAAATGAAGGTTTCTTAATGATTCTGGATCAAGGGATGTAGCCACAGCTGAATCAAAGCCAATGATTGGTGAACACTCTCACGGTAGTATTAAGCTACCAAATAGGCCTCTGTACTAATGACGTCACACTTTGTTTACATGTGCACTTTCCTATGGAGCCAGTGGGGGCCCACGGTCCACTGAGCACCATAGGAAAGTACACATGTAAACAAAGTGTGACGTCATTAGTACAGAGGCTTATTATAACGCACACCTTACTCACTTGCAATGTTACAATATTAAGTAAAGAGGTGACAAAGTCTGTCACAAGTCAATGTGGCCCATCAGGCTGGCATTTATCTCCGGTTTCCTTGACGTGAACCGACTGAGAATATTTCTGTTCAGCCTGGATGGGATGCCAGTCCATCGCAGGTTACTCCCCAGCTGATGCCAATACCCATTTTTACTCCTGGGTTAAAAGAGGCAAGCTGGGGTGAAGTGGCTTGCCCAAGGACACAACATTGGTCAGCAGGTGGATTTGAACCCCTGACCCTCTGATCATGAGTCACTACAATGTACAATATTACAATAAGTCACAATTTGTGCTACTCCGGTATCCAACCCTCATTTCAGGATAATTCTTTACGGATCACAGTACTTGAATAATATCCTTATACCCTGTTCACATTTGACCGATGGAAATATAGATTTACGACTTGAGACACCGCAGAATGAAGCTTTATTCATTTGCTTTCAGTTTGATTACAATAACTGGGCTGACCCCAACGCCATCGGGAGTGAGGACTGCGTGAGCATGGAGGGCCACACCACGAGCTACGGGCTGTGGAAAGCACGCAACTGCGACGAGCTGAACTACTACGCTTGCAAGAAACCGTCAAGTGAGTCAGCTGAGCTATTGAGTCAAAAAAAAAAAAAAATATAAAAAATGAAAGAACTGAATTTATGTCAAATGTACACAGCTTGACCACTCATAAAAATTTGAAAATCCCAAGATGACCACAGCAAAAATTCCCAAGATTTCCCAAGATATCGGCATTATGTATCAAAATAGCAGCATGGACCTTATTTTTCTTATGAATGGGGCGCACAATTAACATTTTGCACATGTACAATCCATACTTTCTAAGCTCTCTCTGTAATAAGCAAACAAATCCCACAGCTCAGCGAAACGTTCCCAAGACCACGCTAAAATTCCCAAGATCTTTGGGAACAATCCCAAGGAGTGGCCACGCTGAATGTACACATCACATTCAATGTCATAAAAATCAAATATAAAATAATAAATTTTATTCCAAGTGAGAGACAGACTTTATTTTCCGTCTAACTCTTTTTTCCCTTTTCTTTTGCCCAATTTTAGTCAAAGGAACAGCAGCCCCCCCTCCACCACTGCCAACAAGTAAGTCTATTCTAAAAAAAAAACGTAGAAAGGAAAAGACAATTTGTTTGAAAGGGCTCATGTAATGTAATTTTTTAATCCTTGAAAATGCACCTTTTTGTGTCCTATTTTTGTGTGTTTGGCCTTTTGGTATTTTATGCTAATAAAAATTTGCATATTCAGGTTCGCGTTCCGATCTGACAAATAATAGCAACCGCGCTGCAGACACTTGTGCGTGCTTCGCCGAATAAAAAAATGAAAATTTTCAACGGTGCGTCTTAAGAAGCGCAGTTTTCAATAATATTTACAAAAAAAGGGATGTCAAGTACTTTTCACACACAAAGGGTAGTAGAAAAATGCACAAAATTTGTTTTCAAGAAAAATTCATTGCACGGACCTATCCAGATGTGATGAGGCTAACGCTCAAATGAATTTTAAAGAAACGCTAAAATCCGTCATACTGACTTGTTAGTATCCACCCCCAATAGCTAAACCTATTATTATCGAAACACAACTCATCATGCCTGCAACGTACATCACAGCACCATAAATTTGTATCATTGTTTTCCTCGGGGTGTAAAATCTGTAACTGGCAATTCATAAGTGTCACACTATCCAGCTTTCTGTCATTGTAAAATTTGCCTGGAATTTCTCATTTCCAGGTACATTTTTATTGAGTTAACCAGTTTGCGCTGGATGACTTGTATACACGCAACGGTTTTACGGTATTCGGAACAGATGACGGATAAACATGCAGGGAGTGAGGCCAGATATATCTGTCAGTGACCCGCTTCCAGCGAGCGAGGCCGGAAAAGTGTGCTGCTCGCAGGTGATGGCTTCAACCCGCCCGGCATTGGGGTTGAGTGAAAAATAATCCCGCGCCTCGTTCCGTTCTTGTCAAAATATTCCCAGCGTTAACTGGTTAAAGCAGCCCAGTAGCGCACAGTGTGACAGGTGCATACGTTTCCGACACACAACAGAAAGTGGCTGTGAAATTTGTTTGAAATGTCTATTTAGCAAGCAAAAACTCTTTTTATTTTCTCCTTTTCAGTAATTTACGACTCCCGTTGCGGCTCAGGCTGGGAATTGGACAAGAAGTCCGGCAAGTGCTACTTGTTTCAGCCGTTTGAGAAAGTCAACTGGTTTGGGGCTCGCTACGCGTGTCGCCTGCTGGGCGGTGATCTCATGAGCCTGACAGGGAATGACGACTTGGCCTATGCTACTAGTAAGTTGGGAAATAGCGAGCTCCATCTAAACTATGCAGAGCGTAACACATTGTTGTAGTTGAAATACTTGTGATGGATTACAAGTCCTCGCAAGTCATTTGCGAGGGATTCCGTACCAAGTCAATCACAAGCTATTCCAATAAGCTGTGACAAAGGTAGGCCTGGGCGAGTCGTGGATTTTTCTACTCGAGCACTCGCAAAGAAATTACTTTCAAGTAGTCAAGTACTCGCGTGTAGTTAAAAAAATTCCCAGAAAAGCAGAAAAATGACATATAACTAGTATGACGGGATGTAACTACAAGCAAATAGCATGCAAGTCGCACCACATTCTTCAGCACTGAGATATCCTAACTGCGACGTTTAAAGTCATTTTACTTGAATTTTTGACAAATGGAATCCTAGGGAGAGAGAGCTGGAGGGAGTGATTCCCTGTTTGCAGGGGACGCATTAAGCCGTGAACCCTAACCCCTAAATTGGTACTGCTTCTATTCGCGCCAGGACGAGAACTCAAGAAGATGACAAACCAGGAGTAGAACAACAAGTAGCATGAACTACTCCTGAGTACTCGAGTAATTGAGTTACTCGCCCCGCGGTAGACCAAGGCATTCCTTTGTTATTGGTCATCCCCTGTGTCTTGTGACTTGACTTTAGAATTGTCTTGTGATTTACTTGTGACCGGACTTGTGTTACACTTGTGATCCTTCATAACTGCCTTGACTACAACACCAATATATCATTGGGCTCGTTTCCCTACGAGTTTTTCACCCAACTTAAAATACTGTACATGCCAATTACATGTACTTATAATAAAAAGAGAGTGTGTGGCCTAGTGGTTAGGGTTCGTGACTCATGATCAGAGGGTCCGGGGTTCGAATCCAGCCGCTGGTCATATATTGTGTCCTTTTGCAAGGCACTTCACCCCCACTTGCCCCTCTTCACCCAGGAGTATAAATGGGTACCGGCATTAGCTGGGGAGTAACCTGCGATGGACTAGCATCCCATCCAGGGGGAGTAGAAATATTCTCAGTCGTTTCATGCTACTGAAACCGGAGATAAACGCCGGCCTGTTGAACCACATTGGCTCGGGACAGACTTTCCTTTTTTTTTACTAATAAAAAAAGAAGCCTTGTGTCAAACAGGTAACAATTTTGTGTTGTAATTCCACAGGTCGGTTGATAACCACCGGCGGGGGAGAATCCTGGATAGGATGCAACGACCTGGGCACCGAGGGCGGATGGGTCTGGAGTGACAAGAAACCCTTCTCATTGCTCAACTGGAACCCAGGTAAAAACAATCATCTGTCTGTCTCTCATCTCAATCCGAGTTAGCTATTGGGTACTGTGAGCCTGTTTAAGTCCAGGGAATAGACCGATTCTTCGAGCCCCACCCCCAAATCTTTTGACCAATCATGACTTTGGGCAGCTGGGGGGGGGGGATTCTAAAAGGTTACAAAGGTAACATTTATCGCATTTTAACAGATTTCACTCAAAAGGCAACATTTTCCAGCCAACTTCTGATGCACAGCCAAACGTCCCAAATACTGATTTGCAAAAGTCATTTCAACAGTATTGTGCGATATTTCTTGCCGAAACTTCATATGTTTCAATACTCCGGGGTGTGCACTGGAGCGTAAATTGTCAAACAATAGGCTGTGCACAACAGCCAATTCAAGATCAACATGCGGTCCACCTCCACAGACTTAACGGACTTTGTGTGCGTGTGTACAAAAGACACTGTGTATAAAAACAGCCAGTGCGTGTTATCATGTCCTCCGATTCGAACTGGTTAATTAAGTAACAGTTTCAAGTATTCCCATGGTCATGTATTTCTCGATGATGCAGGATCATAACTAAATTGGATCCATTTGTTTACTTAAAAAGAACATTCTTGATCTTCATTTTTATCCTGTCAATGTTTGGTCCTACCGTGTTTCAGGTCAACCCGATAACTGGTTTGGTTACAGCCAGATAGGAGAACACTGCTGCAACATATACAACGCCCTCGGAACGTGGAACGACAACTTCTGTGAAAACCAAATAGGCTACAGCTGCAACAAAGATGGTAAGCTGATTTATTGTTTTTTTATTGTTACGACTATTCAAAGAAATAGTGTAATCCACTTTCAATAATGGTAACCTAAGTATTTGCTTTTTTGAAAGATTTTCAGTCAAAGTGGAATAAGAGAAAATAAGTTAGTTTGATAGGCATCATGGTTGATCTTGAGCAATTATCAATAATAATGTTTTTGAAAATGGAAAGTTTTGGGGTGTTTAGGTGTTAGAGACATTCTTGAAATTAAATTTAATTTCGATTGAAGCATGATTTTCCATCAAAAGAAATGATTTCAAACATTGCAAAATCAGTATTCCATAATGCTACAAAACTTGGAAGATGGTGGGCGCTTAGCGTATGGGCTCCATGCGCAGATACAAGAGGGCGCTTTTTATCACTTTCGAGAGTTGTGGACAGGACACGATGCGTGTGTGTACTGAATTGCACATGTGTAGTGTCTTCGCGTGAGCTTCAGGCGTCATCCGCAGTGGGTTTGAATGTCGTTTCCAGAGCTTTCCCTAAATTTCCCTTTCATACCATGGAGGGGGGGGGGGGGGGGGGGGGGGCTTTTGCACTGAGGCCATAGCGGCTAAAAATCTGCCAAACTTTCACTTTATCATTGTTCTATCGGGTATTTGTGCATAGAGTCCACAGGACTTGACTTATTAGAGAGGTTTCGCATGCAAACGGATACGTTTAGGGCGACGGATACGTCATCAGTTATGACTGGCCTCATATTGGTACAATTGACAGGCTGTGGTGGGTATGTTATCTGAGGGTACCATGCCTTGACTGACATTGATAGATGTGGCGGGTCAGCGCTGGTGAGTGCCTGTCAAACTGGCCTCATATTGGTACAATTGACAGGCTGTGGTAGGTATGTTAACTGAGGGTACCATGCCTTGACTGACATTGATAGATGTGGTGGGTCAGTGCTGGTGAGTGCCTGTCAAACTGGCCTCATATTGGTACAATTGACAGGCTGTGGTAGGTATGTTAACTGAGGGTACCATGCCTTGACTGACATTGATAGATGTGGCGGGTCAGCACTGGTGAGTGCCTGTCAATGATAGATTTAGCTCAGTAACAATGAAGACACAAAAGGTTCACTCTGGTAGGCCGTGACCAGCCTGTACAAAAGCCATCGAGAGAGGTAGGGGTAAGGTTTAATTTTTTTTTTACAGTTTGTGATAGGTATAGGAGGGTTAGGTAATGGGTTAATACAGTTTTTTATCTTATCACATCTCAGATATGGTGCTCAAGTATTTCTTAACCTACTCGGAGAAGAAAATCATGGGTTCGCCAGACAGTATGGTGGTTCAGAATGCCTGGCCCAAGGACTGCGCCGAGAAGTGTCGCACCTTGCCTACCAACACCTTCTACTGCAAGTCCTTTGACTACGAGAGGGCCACACGGACCTGTTACCTCTACAAGGTGGACCAGGCCACCGCTGGGGGTCTGATTCCGACCTTTGACACGCAGCATTTTGATTACTACGAGCGAGGTAAGGTCATCTTTTCTGCTAGTGGATGACACTTACCATTTGGTCCATCTGTGGAGTTAACACGGTTACCAGAGAAATTACACCAATGGGTGTAATTTAAAAAATATTGTACGTACACTCATACACACTGCCCCATCCCAGGGAGCTGGTGATTGTTGTATCAAAATAAGGCATCAGAATTTCAAAGCACAAAATCTGAAGGTGAAACTTAAAATTTGTCAGGTAAAAATTATTCAGGAACCCTAGAATTAATCAGAAAGGAATATTTGCATCGGGATTAGAATCAAAATCCTTAAGAATAAAATCCTCATTTCCTGGTGAATCAGATGGCTGAAGCTTTTGACGTTAATATACAGCTACTCCGTCAAATGATAAAATAAACTTGTACAGTGGAACGTCGCTATACTGAACACTGCTATACCGAACATTCGGATATACCGAGCATCGTCCTTGGCTCCCGATTTTGTGTACAGAACTTACCGAACATTGTTGTTGAAAACCGTCAACAGAAGAGGGACAAGTGGCTGTTATTTCCCCAAGGAATAGAAGGGGAAAGCCACCCATTGCTGTAGGTACAGGAGCTCAAAAACTGTGGAAACATAATTCAATAGTCGGCATGTGTTCAAAAATCGCATTTCAGTAAATGCCAGGGCATGCAGGGTGAAGTTCTGAAGGGCACTATTTATTGAAAAGTGTGTACCTGAGCACCAGCAGCTCAAAATCGCTATACCCAACGATCGCTATCACAAACAATTTCCGTGGATCTCACGATGTTCGTTGGAGCGGCGTTCCACTGTATTAGCTTCAAAGTTTCCTAACTTAGTAATTTCCCCATCTTATTTTTTTGGCAGATTTATTTGCCACCCCTCCTCCTCAGCCGACCCCCGTGCCGGCCAACAAGGGATGCCCCACAGGCTGGGGTCAGTACAAAGAATACTGCTACTACGCCAACTTCAACAAGTCGGATTTCGCCGGAGCCCAGGCCGAGTGCCAGAAACTGGGAGCAGAGGTGACCACGATCCATAACATGAATGTCAACAATTTCCTGCGTGCATTTGTCTATGAACAAAGTAAGTTATGTGAAAAGGGTGCTGTGGGTGTTGTGTTGTGTGGGTGGGGTCGTGGGGGGACAAGTCTTTCCAGATTATTTAAATAGCATCTGACTAGCACCCATAAACTAAGACATTTACAAATAGGGCTTGATGCCACAGTTGGTAGAGCATCCATATGGTGTTTCGGATGTCCAAGGTTCAAATCTAGCTCCAGTTCAACCTTATACAACATTTTTTCAAATTGTAAAGGTTATAAAAATTAAAGACAAATTTGAGAAAGGAAAACTTTTCAATCATTGGGTATAGTGCCATTTCTCTGCTCAGCACTAGAGTCAAGGCCAGGGTATACTAGTCGGAAAAGTACGTTGACATTAGATAATATTTTGGTTATGAGTTAAACACATTTTCAACTTGGGCGGATCTTGCCGTGAATGGTTCCTTAAAAAAAAAAACGTGTTGTGAATTTGCAGTTGCCTGAAGCAACTTTATTCAGATCAGGAACAATCGTGTTTTTATGGATGGTTATTTTTTCCCATCCCAAAAAGACCCAATCGAGAACCGGTTTTGGATCGGACTGACTGACCAGAAACAAGAGATGCTGTACGAGTGGTACACTGGTGAACCTGTTGTCTTTACCAACTGGAACGCCAGGGAGCCCAATGACGCCAATGGAGAGGACTGCACCGAAATGTATATTGACTCTGTAAGTATTTGATTTCTGGTGATGAAACTTAAAGCTATAGTCCATCATTTGCAGCTATCCGAAAAGTAACTGGCGTGTTTATTGTTGAAAAACATACTTGGTTGAAAGATAGTAAGGGGACTAAACTCCCTGTGAAATTATTCTTTCTTTCTGGTAAGCTGTCATTTTGAAGTAATCAACGAAAGAAGGCATTTCCAACAGTGCTTCTTAAGACGCACCGTAGGAAATTTAAATTAGTACTTCGTTTTGTTATTCGGCGAAGCGCGCGCAAGCATTGGAACGACGCACACGCACGCGCGGTTGCTATAATTCGTCGGATCAGTGCGCGACATCGCGTACAGTAGCTGCAATCGGCTCAGTGAGAACGTGTCTCGGACGCTGAATTCAGGCCCAATTCAAAACATGATTCAGCAACTTTTGATTTGAAATTGAGATCCTAGAATGCTGTTTTTCTCAGAATATACAGCTGAAGCTGAGCTGAAACTTCATCAGGTTAGTTGTTCAGCACCCTTCTTTAGATTTTGAGCACTTTTGTTGCTTCAAACGAACAAGATGCACAAATTACAAATGATGGTCTATATCTTTAAGGATTCCTCAAAAAGGACTGTAGCTTAGAAGTCCTTAAAAAAAAACACCTTGAGAGTAATGTATTATTATCATTGCTGGTAATAAAACCAAGGATTCCTCAAAAACGCCCTGGGCACTGTAGCTCGCAAGCCTGAAGAAACCTGTAGAGAGAAGACAGACAGCAGAAATCACAGTTTTAGCAGTGGGAGGAAAACCCCAGGAGAATAGTCTAGGGAAAACCCACGGAATCAGGTAGGGACTGAAAACCCATCCACGTGTGGACCATGCCAGGGCAGGAATCGAACCTGGGCCATAGTGGTGGAAGGCGCGGAAAGAACACTGCTTTTTGGAGAAAACCCCAGAACGTGGAAGGGACTGAAAGCACCATCCATACGTGGGCCTGGGCAGGATAAAGATTTCTCATCAGATAAACCACGGATCCTCTACACAAGGATAAACGACTTCCAAAATTTCTGGTTCGAGGCCTGATAACGGCCTGTGCGCATATAGAACATACAATGCGCGTGCGCGAGACTAGAGTCGGCACGCGACTGCAGTTGAATTTCTGTCAAGTCTCCCGTGATTGGGTTTCGTGTAGGGGGCCCACAGGCCGTTATCGTGCCTCTAGACAAACCATTCTGTACACTTTGTATACTAGCTCAGATGAGTCATTTATCCTTGTGTAGAGGATCCGTGGATAAACATAGTAGATAAATGCATACAATTTGTATTCAAATCTACAATCTTTAATTTGTCATAACAAATGACGGAAATAACATACAAGTAAAGTTTGCATGTAAGCTGGAAAATGTAAAAAAAACTAGTGTTGTATTTGCTTCAGATTCAGAAGTTTTCTACAATGTCGTTTGTCTCCTGGATGATAGTTCTTGCAAATGATGGATGGTTTTCCTCGTAATTGATCAATTCATGAGAGCACACAAACTTGGAATGCCCAACTGGCTTTTTAAAATGAAAAAATTCAAATTGTTGACAAATCCAGCCGTTTTGTCTTCTTGCACAGGGGTTCTGGAATGACGTGCCTTGCCAGGGTTACACCTACAATTCCATTTGTCGGAAAATTGTATCGACTGGTAACCCGCCTCCGGTGCAGGACACAACATGCCCGACAGGTGGCGTGAGTATCATATATATCCCTATTAATTAGTTCTGATAATATAGATTTTACCGGCCAATTTCCTGAAATGCTCATTCACTTCTGAAAATCGCTCATTGATTTTTGTATGAATTCGAATGCACGTCTTAATTTCATTTCAATTCAACAAAAGTTCAGTCGTTTTTATTTTAGTTGTTGGTATTTTCCTGAATTTCGGAAGCAGGCCTTTTTATCACTGGGGTCTATGGCCATTTATTTACTAGTCTGCAGCTATTATGCACAGCGTCTGTCATACTGCAAGGGCGGATCCAGGGGGGGGGGGGCCAAAGGGGGCCATGCCCCCCCCCCCCCCAAAAAAAACCGAAACCAATTGTTTTTTTTTTATGTGACGTCGCAATAAAGGCAGGCAATGAGTACACCACCATCTTTTCCTCAAAAAACATTGGCTAAAGTGGTCAGAAATTGCCTCAGATCGCACCACAGAGCATCGAGAATCCAAAAAAATGTCGGGGCCCTTAAGCAGGCCCTGAACCCCTGAACCCCACGCCATAATTTTTGACCCACATTTTGGGAGACACAATTTTTTTTTGGCCCCCCCCCCAAATTGTGTTCTAGATCTGCCCTTGTCATACTGTGTCAGTGTCGAGGGTGTACTTGTTCATAGAGACCTTAGTCAAATTTCTTTTTGTTAAACCTCAAATTAAAAAGGCTATATAAACTGAGTGCATAGGCCCACATTTCATATTCATTTTGTGTAAATAGCAAAACATGTTTGTATATATTGATATTGACCTTTAATGAATTTGTGTGTGTTTACAGACATGGAATTACCGATTTAAAGACCGATGCTACCAGATCGAACTATTCAAACTGCCCTGGGCAGATGCTGTCAACAGGTGCACAACGACACCTGGAGCTCAGTTGGTTATCATTGAGGACAGGTGTGTTGAAGTATTGTTCAGTGGCCATGTCTGAATCCGGGATTTTGTGGCTGCGGCTATGCTTTTTACCCTTGTCTTGCTGTGGTAAATAGCCATAGACCCTGACAAGGATTGCTGTTTTGCGGATACAAGCACACCTTCCTGACTAACTGTTCAACTAAGAAAGATAAATTTTGTGTGATTTCACATTTTTATATATTGATAAAAAAAATCCAAATGCTACGTAGCCCTATTTCTACGCACTCGCCTTCAATTTGTTTCTGACAACGTGCACGCTTTGCAAGCGTTACCTGCACAGATTATGGAGGGTCGAGGATATATGAAAACAAATTGGTCTGAACACTATTCAGGCCTGACCCAGTTCAGCACAAAGAGATTTGTTTTCAGACAAGCGAACTTTAGGTATTTAAATTTTCTGATGACTAGATTCTGGAGTTGTTCTGAACAAATGCAACAGTCAAACTTTTGACGTAGTTGACAGTCAAACATTTGACGTACGTGTAGCTGACAGTCAAACTTTTGACATAGTTGACGGTCAAACTTTTGACATAGTTGACAGTCAAACTTTTGACGTAGTTGACAGTAAAACCTTTGACGTAGTTGACAGTCAAACTTTTGACATAGTTGACAGTAAAACTGTTGACGTACGTGTAGCTGACAGTCAAACTTTTGACATAGTTGACAGTCAAACTTTTGACATAGTTGACAGTCAAACTTTTGACGTAGTTGACAGTCAAACTTTTGACGTAGTTGACAGTCAAACTTTTGACGTAGTTGACAGTCAAACTTTTGACGAAGTTGACAGTCCAATTGTTTCAAACGTCAAAAAATTTGGGTAGGCACGACTCTGGAACGCCAGTCTAAACAGGTTTAAATTAACAAAAGCAATTGACCTCAGACTTTATAAAGGAAAAATGCCGTTTCTTTCCTTCGTGGATTGTCTCTGACAGGATGGAGCTAGCGTACCTGAGCGGTGCACTGGGTAGTCAAGACGCGGCCGACGACTACTTCATTGCTTTTAGCGACAGCAAAGTTCCAGGTTTTTACCAGTGGACGGACGGCACGCCGATAATGTACACGAACTGGGGTGACGGCCAACCCGGTAAGTGTGTATCTGAGCTCAATTCATCCATCCCTATAAACTTATCTGACAAAGAAAATGATAGAAGCCGTAACGCAGAACCATGCTCATGCACACGTGCTTTTAAAGATGAGGTGTTACAACTGATAATGTCAAACAAATTGACCGATATTGTTTCACTTAAACCGATAATGTAACAAAAAATGACGGATACTGTAGTAGATGTTACTACACTATCAGTCCATTTTTGTTACGTTATCGGTTAGGACTGATAATGTAACAACAATTGACTGATAGTGTAGTACATTTTACTACACTATCGGTCAATTTTGTGTTACATTATCGGTTAGTGATACAGTATCGGTCAATTTGTGTGACATTATCGGTTGGTGATACATTATCCGTTGGTTACTACACTATCAGTTGTAACATATGAGGCACACACATAAGATTTTTGTAAACCTATTTGTGGTTTAAAAAGTGTTGATTTTCACTGCATACAGCCAAAATATTATATTGTGTTGCCCTCATCCAACCGACCCAAAAAGTGCTGGAAATCTCTGGTCGTTTTTTTTTTTTCCACGTGAAAAGAATTAGATAAACTTTAACTTTGCTGTAAATGTTTCTTTGTAAATACCATAATTTAATAAAGCATGCCCCAAGCCTCAGCCTCATGTACAAAATACGGTCAATTCGAACTGCTCTATCAATTTGTACATTGTTTTGCATTATTAAATTGTACATGTACTGTACATTGTATCGCATGCATGTACATGTACATGTCCACAGTATAGTTGGCGTGTGCAGTACATGTAGCCAAAACATTTTGTGTATGTTGGTAAAGGGGAACTGGTAACTGAATGGAATACATGTAGAAGAAAGGGCCGGGTAGGACTGACCGACCCTCTCATTAGTTCTCATGTAAGGGCAACACAACCGTTGTTTTTGGCCCAATGGGCAAGATATCATGAGAAAGTGTGTGCGGAGTGCGGTGGCCTCGTGGTCTGGAGCATTGAATACATGGTCTATAGGTAATTCGGCAGGTTGTGGGTTCGAGTCCAGCCTGTGGCTATGGTGTGTGTGCCCTTAGGCAAGGCACTTTATCACTCATTGCTTCTCTCCACCCAGGAGTAGATGGGTACCTGTGATGGCAGAGATATTTGCGATTTGAGTTTGGCTGTTTTGCGCCAAAATGGCAGCATCGAGCTGTACACTCCCCAGGGAGCTGAGATAGTATTTGGAATGTTTCATTGGCCGAATGAGCAGGGTAAAACTGATGAAGCGCTTTGAAACCTTATAGGTATAAATGCTATAGAAGCACCACATATTATTTGTCTTGCCTGTCGATATCCTGCCTGTATGTTGATTTTTTTTTTTACAGATGATCAACAGGGTCATTGTGTTGCCATGAACAGCGGCAACGACGCCGGCTACTGGGCGGACCGAAATTGCTCCCAGCCATATAACTTCATCTGCGAGATTGCCCGGACTGGTTACCCGACAATACCGCCCCCTGTGGTGGTGACACCTACGCCGCCAACAGATAACAATTGCGCAACGGGATGGGTGGGCTGGGGCAGTCGGTGCTTCCTGGTAGGCTATACACAGAGACATTTTGTGGACTCGACCTTTCAAAGAAAAGTTGATGTCACTGCATGAGCAATGATTACCAGAACCGGGTGTGTGAGATAACAAATGTGTGTGAGATATACCCATGTGTGTGTATCCCATTCCATGACATGCAATGAGCACAGCTAAAAAGGCACAAATCCCCAGCAAATTTTCCAGACATAACCAGTAGTGTTTAAAATGTCTAACTTTTGACTCTCTTTCTCTGAGGACAGCTGGACAAAGAGAGGACAACAGGTTAATTGTTGTCCTCAGATGGACATATTTTGTCCTTGCATAATTATATACATTTGTGTGCTTAGTATAATGGGCGAGTGTTATGATATAGGAACAAAAGGAAACACAATGCCTTGTCCTCGAATGTAAGGCATGACAATTTGTATACAATCTGAGGACAGCAAGACAAAAACAGATCAGCAGATTAATTGTTGTCCTCAGATGTGCATCTTATGTTGAGAATAGTCCTCAAATGTACGTATGTGCTTAGTCTATGGGAGAGTGTTACAATAAGCCCCAAAAGGAATCATAAAGGCCTGTTTGTTTTGCACGGATCTTGAATCAGATCTGGGATCTGTTCATTTGTTTTGCCTGGATCCCAATCTGGGTCATGGATCTCAGGTGTCGATCCTGAGAGGTTCAAAATGCCGACTAACGAAATGACTTATATTAATATGAAAATCTCCTTGTTTACTGTTGGCTGGTCATGTGACTCAAGATCTGGATCAGGTGCAGTTTTAATAGACATTCATTCACGAGGGACCCATCACTGAATCTGTAAACTGTTTGGGATGGTGCCAGATTATTTTATGATATGAGTGCGCTCCCAGACTAACTTTCAAATTTTTTAGGTTTAAATGTGGCTTAAAACATTTTGTTGCTTTCATTTCTACTCGCACGTTCCAAAAATGAAGAGTTTACCTCACCTTCAATTTAATATGGCCGACTCGGGAATAAAGTCTATTGTTATAGCATGGTACTCTGGTTCGAAGGATCTGAGTTTGGATCTGTACTGAAACTAATGCTCCCAGTGCCTTGTACTAGTTTGTAGGTATTCTTCACTTTCCTTGCAAAATCCCCCCCCCCAAGAATTCAGGTATCCGATCTTTTTTTAATTTCACGATGTAGATTTTTGAGTTGGACAGTGACTCCGCTGCAGTCAACTGGGACACAGCTAACAGAGAATGTGAGAACATGGGAGCCACTCTGGCCAGTTTCCATCACCCTGATGAGGAGAAGTACTTGATAAGCAAGTTGTAAGTCAGGGTACCATACCACTCTGGGTTAAGATGTCGTCAGTTGTGGGAGAGTTTATAAGGGCTTAATTTTTCGTTTTTGGGGAGGTGGAGAGGAAGTTTAGTGCATTTGAATAAATCTTTGCTGTTAACTCCACTTTAAACTTGATGGGGACCAACTATTTGTTGGGGGCTTTTAGAGGTACATATAAAATAAAGTCTGTCCCGAGCCAATGTGACCCATCAGGGCGGCGTTTATCTCTGGTTTCAGTAGCATGAAACGACTGAGAATATTTCTACTCCCCCGGGATTGGATGCTAGTCCATCGCAGACTACTCCCCAGCTCCTGGGTGGAGAGAGGCAAGTGGGGGTAAAGTGGCTTGCCCAAGGACACAACATATGGCCAGCAGCTGGATTCGAACCCCTGACCCTCTGATCATGAGTCACGAACCCTCACCACTAGGCTACACTCCCCACAAGAAGTTTTTCCCCAAAATTGTATGTTATGCTGTAGAAATACTTCGTTATGTTTGCATTTACTTTTTGTGTTTGGACTTGAAGTGGAATAAACCTTAAAAGGCCTCTCGCAGAGCCATTTTTACTTTTTGAAAAGCTAAATCTTTGGAGTGTTGTACAGGCACGTCTTACTGTCGACCAAAATAATGTACAAATTGAGAGTGATGGGTAAACAAGCATCAAGCACACTTGAACAGAAATATTGACTTATTTGGAACACCGCCAACGCAGGACTGGATAGCTCAGTTGGTAGAGCACCAGAGCAGCAACCTGGAGGTCACAGGTTAAAATCCAGCTCCGCTCAATTTCTTTATTCAAACTTATTAATATTGATATTGTGATTTCTATGTTTCATTTATTTAGTTCACCGACAACTAACAGACGTTTTTGGATTGGACTGAACGACCAGCGTTTTGAAGGAGGTAGGGCCTATTTATGTTAGCTCACGATGCATCTTCTGTGGCATAGTGTCTTTTTTGTACACTCTGTGGGATGCATCGTACATTCTTGAGGCTGTCAAAACAAACGAGTGTTGTGTGGGTAGTTCAAAAAGATGAGTTGTTCCTTCCTGGCTGCAAGACCTCAAATTTATCACGGCAAAGTAAACATTAACTAGTGAAGGTTTGCGGTAACACCACATGGCTTTCTCTTTTTTATTAACATTTTTGGGACCCTGTGGTATTCGTTATTATGCATTCTACCATATCATTTTGATGCTGAAAACCTCGGGAATTTGAAAACCCCCTTAAACCTAAAAAAAGCATATGTTGGAAGCAGGTCACATATTTGAAGTCCTTGTCTTTGTCTGTGTGTCCTCCTGTCCATCTTTAGGCTATGCATGGAGTGACGATACCCCAGTGGAGTACACCAACTGGGCTGCTGGGGAGCCCAACGATTATGGTGGCTGGGAAGAGTGCGTGGAGACAGACTTCAAGGGGGGACGATGGAACGACCAAAGCTGCTGGGATCGACGCAACTATATCTGCGCCATACCCAAAGGTGTGATTTTGAAACTCGGCTGTGAACAATTTTGAACGTACCAATAATAATGATAATAATTATTACTTAAATAGCACTTTATACCAAAGGCTTCACATTTATTACCCCTGTTCATTAGGCCATGAGATCAGTGCATTGTGGTCTCTACCTTCACAGGTACCCGTTTATACCCCTGGGTGGAGTGAGACTATTGTAGTAAAGTGTATTGCCCAAGAACACAAGCACCATGCTCCCCATGTTCCTCAAAGTCAGGGTTGGGCTCCATCATACCATTGTACCACAGCCCTCTACAATACCCAAATGATTTCAGTTTGAAAGGTGTCATCTTAATAATTATCACTTTTAATTTTTATTCATAATTTTTTTTTTGGGGGGGGGGATGTATGTCAGGTTTCCCATGTCTTGCAAACTACTTTGGTAGCTGCTAGGAGCGCTACTCAGCAGCTATAAACCCGAATATGCCATTTAGCCAGGGATCACGCCTAAAGTCACAATGCTATCAAGCAACATCAGCAACGCTGTAAACGTAGCAAACAGCAAACGGGGATCGCCATGAGAAGAACAGCTTTTTTGACTACCAATTTTTCAAGTAAACCACAATGGGAAACCGACTAGGTGCATTCGAATAATTATGTTTTATAATTATTTAATCAGATTTGCAAATACAAAGCTGTTTTAATTGAATCAAAGACATATTTAAGAATAATATTTTTTTGTTTTGTTCTCTTTTTGCAGGGAAGACGGTAATCACAACACCACCACCAACGATTGCTACAGGTGAGCATTTGGTTTGCAGTTGCATTCCAAAGTTGTCTTAACTCAAAAGCTTCTCTGCCTGTGCAGGTGATCTGGTCGTTACTCGTTTCATATTCAAGTTATTCTGATTTTGTTGTCAAGTTAAGCCAGGCAACCAAGGGAATGCCATTGTCACAGTTCATTGGAGTAGTTGTGACTTAAGATTGATCGACTTGTGATCAACTTGTGAGGACTTGTGATGACTTGCGAGGACTTGTGATGGCCTTGCGAGGACTTGCGAGGACTTGCGAGGACTTGTGAGGACTTGTGAGGTTTGTGGGGACTTGTGAAAACTTGCGAGGACTTGCAAGGACTTGTGAGTACTTGTTAGGACTTTTGAGGACTTGTGGGGACTTGTGGGAACTTGTGAGGACTTGTGAGAAGCTGCAAGGACTTGTGAGAAGCTGCAAGGACTAGCGAGGACTTGTGAGGACTTGTAAGGACTTGTGAGGACTTGTGGGGACTTGTGGGGACTTGTGAGAAGCTGCAAGGACTAGCGAGGACTTGTGAGGACTTGTAAGGACTAGCGAGGACTTGTGAGGACTTGTAAGGACTTGTGAGGACTTGCGAAGACTTGTGAGGACTTGCAAGGACTTGCCAGGACTTGTGAGGACTTTAAAACAACTTCAATTTTTTTTTCTTGCAGGTGACGACTGCGTAGGCTTTGTTGGATGGAAGCACCTGTACCCCAACTGTTACTACTTCAGCACTAAAGGGGACGGCTTGAAAGATTGGTACGAGGCGGAGGAGTTCTGCCATAAACAGAATGCTCATTTGGTCTCCATCCATGACAAAACAGAACGAGATTTTATCAAGAATCGGGTACGTTTATCATTCCCCCCCCCCCCCCCGAATCCCAAGATGACCTTTTTGAACAAATAAGACCAGAAGGAGGTGGGTTTAGGCCCCTGAGGATCAATTCAGGCATGCCGGCAAGTCGCGACTGGAGCGGGAGACCACACACGCGAGTGGCGAAACCACAAGACCTTTTCCAACTTGTCAAGAATTTCTTATGTTTTGTTATAATCTCGATTTTTGCTACCCCAAAAGGGTAGCAAAATTCCAAACAATCGGAAACGACGGAGTCAGCATTCAACAACAAAAAAACCCGCAGAACCACAATATCAAGGTCGAAAAGGCCTCGTGGCTTTGCCACTCGTGAGTGCTGACTTAATCTTTGCACCAGTCGCTTGCTGCATTCGCAGCTCCGCCGCTCTAAGCCACGATTGCCTTGGCGAAAGGCTAGGTCGGGTGTTACTTTTAAAGAGGATTCACGGCATGGCTTGCTACTGGATTAATTATATGTGGTAAAAAGCATGTTTTGGCCGCTATTTTTCAACAAAAAGTGATAGCACCCAAAAATGCTATTTTGATAGCACCCGCTGCAATGCTAGCACACATTTTCCAACTACAGGGTGCATACCTTGCCAAAAATCACAATGAGCATTATTCCCCTCATTTGATATTATTCCCCTCATTTGAAATCGCGGGTCGACCTGAGGCCGGCTTTACAGTCAGGGGGGAACTTGTGCACGGAGCCCATACAGCTTCCTATTTCAAATCACCATCCCCAGAAAAAAAAAAATCTTATTTCATTTTTGAAGATATTGCAGTTTATTTTTGTTTTTCAGTTGCATTCCGTCGGGAAAATGGTAAGATACTGACATTTATTTTGAATAAATAATAAAAAAACTAATAATTTGCCACACTATGCTTTTTTTTTCGCTACAGATGGACGCATTTGTCGGTAATTACTGGTGTGGGCTTCGAGCAAACATCACACATCCTGGCAATCATGAGTAAGCGAACACCCAAAATTTCTTGCCTATTTGGTTTTGCTCTTTTTCCGCCTACATTCAGAGAACGAATTTTTAAGTGGAGCAAAATTTCAGCAAAGTGTAACAGCGTGGTGTTAATAAAAGTAAAAAAGTTAAATTGAAAAAAACTTGGAACATTTTCCTGAAAATGAATAAAACTGTTGCAAACTGCTTGCAAAGTAGATTGACCCTAAATATACAAGGTGAGTGAAAACGAAACCCAAATGTTGGGACTATATTGTTTTAGTTCTGCATGTAGCACATTCGAAAATCTAGGATATGAAAGCCCAATTCATAAGCTTTCTTTTAGTACTTTTCAAGTTACGGAATTTTAAACACAACCACAGTTTTAAAGTTATGTCCACAAATCACACAAAAAGGTGTGCGTTCTTTCAGCAAAACGACAAAAATTCACACACATCCCTATAAGATTTGTTTTCATTTTGCTGAAAGAACACTTACCTTTTCGTGATCTGTGGACAGAACTGTAAAACGGTGGTTGTGTTTAATTTAAATTGTGTTTGTTTTTGTTGTGAGTGATTTAGTTTGTGTTTGTTTTGTTTGATTTCAGGTGGTCCGATGGAACCCTCTTGGACTTGAAGAACTGGCAGGTCTTCCAGCCAGACACCAAGAACGGAGAGGAACTCTGCGTCCAAATGAGGGCCAATCAATTGAGTAAAAAGGCCTTTCACTTCGGTTTCTGTTTTCGTTAAAAAATAAAGAATTTTTTTTACTGTATCCATATGTGAGATCACCGGACCTCACAAAAAAGACTCGCAAGTGGCCTGGGTTACTTTTGAGTAATTGAATTTCTAACAAAACCTGCACAATGAAATCTGTCCGCGGAATTGTCAAACTGAGTTTATTCCAAAGTAAACAGAAATGTTTGCCTGTTCCACTTCACTTGCTCAAAGGTTGTAGTATCCCTGAAACAGTCAGTGAAAGCAGCCAATAGATAATATAAAAAAAATGCATTTCAGTAAGAGACTCATGTTTTTCCCCTGTTTCCTTGTCCAAAGTTCCGTTCCTGACCGGCCAATGGCTGGATGCCAACTGTGGCCTGGATGCCCGCTTCGTCTGCAAGAAGAACGTGGACGGCACCGCGCCCACCCACCAGCCCACCCCTGCACCCACTGGAGGTTGCCCATTGGGTTGGCTCAAATACAACAACCGATGCTACAAGATCATGGGTGTGGGCGGCCAATCAGACCCCAGGAAGAACTGGCAGGATGCCAAGACGGAGTGCATGAAGACGACGGGGGCAAACCTTGCCTCCATACACAGCATCGAGGTCCAGAGTAAGCAGCTCAAAACCATTTCAGACCGCTGTTCCCAAGCCACACCAAATCAAGTTGTCCTGAAGTTAGAAATTCTGTATAAGTCAACCGAGTTTGAAATTAAACTAATGGTTCTGGTAGCCATTAGTGATCTGCCATACCATAATGAGGAATAACCCCTACCTTTGACTTTGCAAGTTACATACATCATTTCGAGAGAAGTATAAAACGTTCTTCAGTTTCCAACTTTTGGAAATATTTTTTGCTCAACAAAAATGATACCTTGGCTACTCAAAAATAAGAAAAAAAACTATAATGATTGTGGCATATTTTTTTAAAGTGTACCCAACTTAAGGCATTGATTACTCGAAACATGGTTTTGGGGGACATTCCTCATTTTGCCACAGTAGGTTACAAAATTTAGTGGGACGCTCCCATGCCTTAGGGCCCGTCACACATAGCTTTGGAAACCTCACGAAAGGGGAGTGCGTTATGTGAAACACTAAAGCAAGCCTTGAAGCATTCCAGTAATGGAGGAAAGCCAGCCCAGTAATCACAACACATAGGCCACTTGGATTGGTCTATGTGAAAAGTTAAAAGTTTGAAACAGTCAGGGGCGACTGGTCGAAAGACTCGTTGAAATAGTCCAAAGATCAGCTATTGCTGTGTTCCACATTTTGCACTCTGTATGTGCATTTCCAATGGGAATCAATTGGCAAACGTTGGCAACATTGTTTGTGAAAGTCATCCCAGCAATTCAATAAATGAAAAATGCAGATACATAATGTTAATTGTAAAGCGACTGATCTCTTGAACATGTCTTGCTCTTTTCATAACAACTTCACGTTCTAAAAATTTACCAAACTTTATCACAGATCAGTTTCCATTTCCCTCATGCGATTGTATTTTTACAATATATCTTGCGAGCGCAAGTGGAACACAGAATAATGTAGTGCGTCTGTGTCCCACATACCATGAGGCTGAAGGCGTGATAACGAATTTATCTTCAAGCAAACTTGACACGCAGTAAAGTTGGACCATCGCTTTCCACGAACCTTTTAGCGGTTAGGGCATTCAGCTGGAATGTCGCTCGCATCTTAGAATAGCGCAATACGCAGGGCGCGATATGGACCGTGAAATACAGCCTCATATTACACTGTTGTTGCCATGGATCGACCAATCAGGATCGCGATTATACAAGTTTACTTGAAGATAATGCTCACTATTCATATCCCGATTGATGTATTTGTTCTTCTCCAGCTTATTTGACTGCCGATATGATCGAGTCTACCGACGACGTGTGGATAGGGATGTCTGCTCTGGCTAGCGGCAGCAAGTTTGTTTGGACTGACAGCAGTTCCGTGGACTTTGTCAACTGGGCGGCAAACCAGAAGGATCAAACGGACTTTATTCAGGTTAATTCACTGGAAATTGATCGATCCTGTAAGCCCCACCCCCATGATGTTTTGACCAATCACCAACCTTGTTTCCATGGGTACGATCTTGCTGCGCCATGTTGGTTCCCACTTTGCCTTGTGCGATCTAAACCCCTGGACCAGTATCGGTTTTGCCCTTCACCGACGTGTAAACACTGTATACTCGGTGTGTTACCTTCTGAGTGAAAGTTAGAAAAAAATCACTCGTGTGGGACTTGAGCCCACGACCTCTTGCTTTCTTGCTTGCGGGATCAGTTGGCTGGTTTGAATCTGATGTACATGTAGCAGCGGGTACCGCAATTAAATTATTCATAAGGTGGAATCTGCGTCATTGGAATTGTGTAATTTAAATGTGCCACTATTTGGGACATTAAAATTAGGACTGCAGTCGAAGTACTTTACGCGCGATGCAGTGTTTATAACGTTGAAATTTTTTGTGTGCGTGGAATCAGTTCTTTCAAACATGAGATTTCGATGTTGCCTTATTTAGCAAGGAGTTACATTACATGTACCTACCTCCGTCGGCCCTTTCCAACACAAGATACAGGTTTTTGGGCAAAAAATCGAGGCATCCAGAATCCATATTTTACAGGTATCGCCCAGTTTTGAAAAAAAAAATGTTTGTGCGTGACGTGACGTGCAGGGGACGTGACGTGCGCAAGCACATATATAGGGTGTGCAGTCTTCGAAATACGCGCGCAGTACGCTCTGAGTAGCTGGTCAGTGTCGTTTATGTATTCCTCACGGACAGGGGTTAGTGAACTAATGCGCACGCAGCCCATGGAGTCGATGATATGTCTTTGGGAAATGGCTTCAAGGGCATCCATAGATGCGTACAATTTTACAAGTCATAACCGTGTAAATTTGAGGCAGCCTAAGCTGCACTTGATGAAGCTCCTAAATAGCATTCTGGAGGTCATAGGTTCGAAACCTGCTTAAAGGGAAAATACAACATTTGCAAACATCAAAAAATAAAACTACCAAATCATTTTGAAATACCTTGCTGGACTGTTAGTGAATGACAGTGTAAAGCATCCTGTAAAATCATGGCACCTGGTATACTGTCATTTTCAAGAAAAGTGGTATTTTTGTATCAATTTCCAACGCTGATCAGCCGATCAGCGTTGGAAAAAACTGGCTTTTTTTCAAATACTGGCCCCAGTTGACCATCGCACTTGTTTGCAATAGATTACACACCTATGAACGGGTACAAGCCAGCTAGACTGGTTCCCTGACCTTACAATTCCCCAATATATGTAAACTGCTCTGTTTCTTCTTAAATGGAGTCAGGGAACCAGACTACAGGAAAATGATTGTTTTTCTTGGTTTTTATAGCATTTTCGAACCCAAAACCTCAAAAAAGTCAGTGTAACTATATTTGCTATATATTTCCAACCCCCAATTCCATCAATTTCTGAAAATTACAGCAAAAGCAAATGATGTATATTCCCTTTAACAGTCAATGCTATGTGTTCAACCCAAAATAATGATAAATCCTCCTTAATTGTGGGATTTTTTTTGTGTTCAAATTTATTTACAGCTTGGGAATGCTTCAGATTGTATCCGGATGATGTATGAAGACGACGAGCCAGGCAAATGGCTGGATGAGAACTGTGACGCTCTGCATGCCTACCTATGCATGATGAAACCAGGTCAGACTTGTTAATCATGTCGTCAATTTGTATTTAAAGGGACACTTGGTCCTGGAACAGCCCAATTGGGCCACAAAACGCGCTTTGTGTTTGAACAAGATGCTGTTAAACGGAAAGAACATTTAAAAGTAGGATTTAAACACCCACACAACTATCCTTTCCAAACTGGGCGTTTTTGTGTTATTCCTGTATTATGCATGCGAGAAGAAATTTCGGGGTCCACTTTTGCGACCTCATAAATTCGAGCTGTTTGGATGCTAGTTGTGATTTCATTCGTAAGTGTTTGCCTTGTGCGGACGTTGAAGAAACCACTTTTTTTGCATTGGTGATTGGTCACCGCTGTTCCCTAGACACACAACGTGTATATCGTACACTGATGTAAACAAGCGAGTTTTTTTCCGTCTTTTCTCGGGAACAGTAAGACATTAGGTTGGTTTCCTTTCAAACAGATGTTTGAAATAGGCTAAGTAAACAATCCAAAACATAAAATTTTCGGGGATTTCAGGACCTAGTGCCCCTTTAATTTTGTTTTCCAATTACAAACAAATATAGTTCCTCATAAGTGTGGCAGGCATTAAAGCTGGAAGCTAAAGGAATCTGGAGCGTATACAAACATTGAGTGTCTCTGAGTGAAATGGGAGGAATATTATCGCAAGGTAAAAATCGGGACTTTTCCATTTCACGAGGCGAAGCCGAGTGAACTGGAAAAGTCCAGATTTTACCGAGCGATAATGTTCCTCCCGTTTTCCAATTTAAGCCACTCAATATTTTTTTTATATAACTGACATATAGATCCTTTTCATTTGATATGTTCCGTTGAACTTTTATTTCAATACTAAATTGGTTAAAAATCTTCTCTATCAAATCATCTTCTCTATCAAATGCACTTTGGATGCTACTTCTCTCATCACCAATCTTCACTGGGATACCCATCCAGCAGCATATATATCATTCAAAGTTCTTTTGATGGTTTACAAGTGCCTACTTGATATTTCTCCTCCTTACTCTGTGTGGCTTACTCACTTTGTATCAACCAGGCATACCGGGATTAAGATCTTCCAATGATAAACTTCTTCTCTCTATTCCTACAGGTTCAAAATCCCTTTGAGACAAATCTTTGTCAATAGCAGGCCCCAAATTATGGAACACTATTCCCATCAACATCGGGGATGCCCCATCTCTCATCATTTTCAAGAAACGTCTTAAAAGTTTCTTATTGATAACATCCTAGTCTTGTACAGCGCTTTGATCTATCTTGTAAAAGCGCTTTATAAATACTTTATTATCATTATTATTAAAACTTGTAACTAAAGCTCTATTAACTTTTAACCTACAGATGACCAGTATCCCGACAACCCGATTTCAAATGATTGCACCGATTTAAGCGGAAGTGGCTACACACAATACGGCGACGTGTGCTTTAAGGTCTATACTGATTCGAAGAGGAATTTTAACGATGCCAAGACAAAGTGTGAGGCAGACGGAGCTAACCTGACGTCCATCATGAACGGCTATGAGCAGGCCAAGCTACAGTCAATGATGGACGACAAGGGGAAACTTGGCAGCATGTGGATTGGACTTTACGATGATCCGGTAAGTTTCAAGCTGTGAATTTGTCTACTGATACATGCGAAAAACGTGAACACAAAACATTCACACTCATGTTTTCTTGTACCAGACTGCTTCCAAACCCAGTATTAAATTTACCTTTCGTGAAGCATAATTTCAAAATGCAATGTTAAAGGGAATGTACATCATTGGCTTTTGCTGTGATTTCAGAAATGAAGTATTTGAGGGGTTAGTATAATAGATCAAATATTTTTAAACTGACATGTTTGAAGTTTTGTGTTCGAAAATGCTGGAAAAACCAAGAAAAACAAAAGTGTCTAAGTAGTCTGGTTCCCTGACTCCACTTAAGATGAAATGGATCAATTTATAGATGCTGGAAAATTGTAAGGTAAGGGAACCAGTCTAGCTGGCCTGCACCTGTTCATGAACATGTAACCAATAGCAAACAAAATTCGGACTGGAAAAAAATGGTAAATTTGGAGCAGTAGCCGAAAATTAGTTGGGTTTTCCAACAATGGTTGGCCGACCACCTTTGGGAATTTATACAAAAATACCACTTTTCTTGAAAATGACTTCACACCAGGTGCCATAATTTTACAGGATGCTTTAGACTGTAATTTACCAACATCCTAGTAAGGTTTTTCGTAAAAATTTGGTAGTTTTGTTTTTCGATGTTTGCAAATGTTGTATATTCCATTTAAGTTGCTCACCAATTTTGTTTGAAAAACAAAAACAAAAAACAACTATTGTTCCCCTCCACCCAACCCCATTTGGTTCAGGTTCCACCTTCCCACCCACTCAAAACACAATATTCGGGTTAGGCCAAATAAAAAAAACCCCCATATTTAGCGTCCCTGCCCGCTTCCTTTTTGGAAGCCGCCTCCTTTAAAAAAAACACCACAAAACAAAAAACAAAAAAACGAAAAAGAAAAAATTACACATTTTGAACAGTGACATCATTTGAGTCTTTTGTCTGTTGCATCTAGCCCTTATAAAGCTGTTATGTCATTTCCCGAGTCCAAGTGGCGGCCATGTAAAAAAACAAACTGGCCGCCATCTTGAAAAATAGCCCGGTCGGGCCGCCATTTTGGAGGGAAAATAAAAAAGGCCTCCTCTTTTTTTCAAAAAGGCAGGATGCTAAATGTGTTTTTTTTACTTGGCCTTAAAGAAAAAAATGGATCCAGTAGACAGAGTTTGGCTTGGGCTGTACTCCACTCGAAATGTGACGTCACAAAATGACGTCTAAATTGTTTTTTTCCTTGCACGCAGGCCACTGGAGTGTTTGCGTGGATAGACGGCTGGCCGCTTCACTATGACAACTGGGGATGGACCGATCCTAAAGGCCTCCCGTACGTAATCATGAAGGAGGACGGTTGGCTGTATGAGGCTGGTGAATGGGGAAACGTAAACGGGGAGGGTTTCTTCAATAAGTACTACACGGCCTGCAAGTACAATCCAGGTTAGAATAGTCATGTCATGCTATAAACCTTTCTTTCGTTTGTAAACGTTGAGCACATTTTTTTCATGGGCAGCCAACAGGGCATACATTGAAGCCGTGGTTGGCAAGAGATTTTGCTCAAAAAATTGCATATTACAGGCATGCAACTTTACCTCGGATCCACTGATTTCCTCGTTTTTGTACTTCTCATGAATGCCTTTACAAATTGAAAAACATTGTACAAACTCTAGTTTGTTTTGGAGTTTCCTCGTTTTTTTTTCTAAATTGCTAGTTGCATGACTGATATTAACACCCTTTGTAAGAAAGATAGAGTATTTGGTAGCGTCGTTGGTTATTTGGTAGTGTTGTTGGTTATTTTTGTATTCTCAAAAATCCAATGATAACTATTTTTTTCATTTTTGCAATGTTGACCTTCCATATTTTGCCAATCCGTGGTTGGCAAAACGTGCCAACCCGGATGTTGGCAAAGAAAGGTCCATACTATGGGCCTTATTCACAAGTTGGCCATTTTTGTTGAGTTCCCTGAATGTATATCATTAATTGTTAACTGTTGAATGGGATGGCGCCAGACTTTTTATGCAGGTACAATGCAGCCTTATTTTACTGGTCTTTTTTTTTTTTAAATATGGCTTTAAACATTAGGGAATGTTTAATTACAAATGTTAAATTATTCATTGAAGCAGAGAATCGCAAGTACCAAAAATTAAGATTTTACCTAACTTTCAGTTCAATATGGCCGACTCGTGAATATGGCCCATATGGCCGTATCCTTATGAAGTGTCCGGATCTATGGCTGTGTCTATATTGTTAGCATGTGCCCATTTTGTATTTGTCACAGCCTTAGGCACTAGCCCTAACAGGAAACTTAAATGCACATTTGGTCTACACCTCGTTAGGCCAAAAAAAAAAAGTCTCCGGTTTCTGGTATGCGCGCACGTCGCCAAAATGAAAAAAGTTTTTTTTCAATGAAAGATGATGTCTCAAAACCGCCAAACTCACTGGTTTGACTGGAATTCTGCTGCTGCGCAATTTCAACGTGTGTTTAGATGGGGTTATGATCGAGAATAAGCTTTATGTGGCCTCTCTGGACTCCCGTATATTTGCACTAAGTTTAGTCGGGCACCATTTGCAGCCATCAGCCGACATTTGAAGCAAAAAAGTCGGGTAAAAAAAAAAAAAAGCCGCGTCGCCGCACCACTTTTTGGAAAAGCTCCATACCAGAAACCGGAGACTTTTTTTTTTTGGCCTTACACAGTTTCTCAACGATTTCATATAGCACCCAGCCAGCACAGCCTTGATTCTGAGGCTTGACTCTTGTTATACAACTTTATACACTTTTTGTGGGACATGCAAACGTACTTGACGTCAACACTTCAAGATAGTGACACGTTGAAAGAGTGTGTTGTGCCCTCTGTGTGTGGGCATGCAACTTTTCAGCTGATCAGCTGATTTCCTCTTTTTTGACCTCCCATGTGTGCCATTGAAAATAGAAAAACACTGTACAAAGTCTAGGAAAAATTTGAATTTCCTCTTTTTTTTGTGATTTACCAGTTGCATGCCTGTGTGTGTGGATACTGGGAACTGATCAAAGCTTCACCGCTTCCCAATGCACACCGCACCTCTCTCCTGATAAAAGCCCGATTAGACTGTCACGTTGATTATTCATCCGTTCTTCAGAGAACCACACAAATTCACAAAGGAGAATTACTTTCGCATGGCGCAAATGCAAACTTTGAATATAAAACATCAAATCTTACGGGATTTGTTTTGCTTCCTTTGTTTACAGCCACACCCCCACCCCCTGAGCCCACCGTGGTCGGATACTGTGACAACGGCTGGGGCGCCTTCGGTTCCAGCTGCTACATCGTCGGCTCCGGCATCTTCGCCAAGGGAACCTTCGGCGACGCCATCTACGACTGCGACAAGAATTACGGCGGGGCCCACGTCGTGACTATTGGGAGCAAACTGGAGAACAGCTATGTCAAGAGTCTAGCCCAGAAGGAGTTTGGGGTCGATGAGGTGTTTATTGGAATCGACAGGACCGCCATTGGTGAGATATAATTCCAGCGTGGATAGGTTTGTAGTGTTGTCCATCACAATTTAATCCCAATTTGATTCAGAAGTCCAGTCGCAGGTAAAGAGGATGAACAGTAGCAAAGGAATCCCTTCGTCACAGTTCATTTGAATGGTTGTGACTTGACTTGAGACTAGAGGACTTATGATGGACTAGTGGGGACTTGTGAGGACTTGTGATGGACTAGCGAGGACTTGTGATGGACTAGCGAGGACTTGTGATGGACTAGCGAGGACTTGTGATGGACTAGCGAGGACTTGTGATGGACTAGCGAGGACTTGTGATGGACTAGCGAGGACTTGTGATGGACTAGCGAGGACTTGTGATGGACTAGTGAGGACTTGTGATGGACTTGTGATGGACTTGTGATGGACTTGTGTTGGACTTGTGATGATGTATGGGGACTAGTGAGGACTTTGAGGACTTGTGAGGACTTGTCATGGATTTGTGATGGATTTGTGATGGACTTTTGAGGACTAGTGAGGACTTGCGATGCACTCGACTGCAATATTTATTTTTATAAATTGTATTTCTTTCTGGTGAACTAGATTCCCTTTGTGGTTTGCATAATATGTACATCTATAGTCAGCGTTGCAGTCGAGTCAGGTCCAATCCTTTGTTCTTTGTACTTCTTTTCATGAAATGTTCATTGTCTGAATAATGTGCATGATTCTTTCCGATGTTTGAAACAATTTGAAAAATGTTACTGCTGTAAATACTTATTCTCGACTGTCATTATCAAAGGTGAATTTTTAATTGGCTTTTGCTAATTAGCATCATGTTTTGCCACAAACTTTGATTTCTGGTGCCATCTTTTGTTTACGTTTATGCAGCGCCAAGTATTGCAATGCTGATAATTCACATCATAACTTTTTCGCATTGTTATCAAAACATCAGTGACTCGTTACCCACCCCCTATTTAAGTGACACCTGTTCTTCCAATAAAACAGGTGGTTGGGAGTGGGTAGATGGCTCCCCTTTGACCTACGTCAACTGGGGCAATGACCCGGACAGTAACACCGGTAAAGACTGTGCCGAGATGAAGTTTGACTCCAATGCCAAGTGGTACCACATCAACTGCAAAAGCAAAAGCCACTACGTCTGTGAGAAAGCAAAGAGTGAGTGTTGAATTCGTGCCGTCTTGTCTTTATTTGTAATCAAAAGGATTTTATAGTGTATTGAAATGTCCTGGTAAATGTTGCGTATTAATTTGTGGTATAGCGTATTTCATGGGACTTTACATTAAAAAAAATGTTGACGCTGCTGAAATAAATGATTTGTGAAAACGATGCCAGCATTTTACGAAAAAACCACAAACAAGTCATGTTGGTTTTCGACTAGACTTGTGGAAAGAATCAACTTTACACTGCTAAAACTCATAAATCCCATATTGCTTGACTTTCGATATAATGGACCACACGCTGGATTTGTGAAGGCAAGAATTTTTGATCAGTAAAAGTCCTCCCTTTGTAGATTTTTCTCATGTTGAACATGCATACTTGACTCAATCAGCTCTTAAAATAATCTTTAGAAACAAATTTATGATGATTAATAACAGAAATTGGGAAGGAGAAAAAGTATTTTAACAGAGTGCTGTGGCCTCGTGGTCAAGGGCATTGGATTCGTGGTCTGCAGGTAAAGCTGCAGGTTGTGGGTTCGAGTCCAGCCTGGGGTTGTGGTGCGTGTGCCCTTGGGCAAGGCACTTTGTCACTCATTGCCTCTCCCCTCCCAGGAGTAAATGGGTACCTGCGAAGGTACGGGCCATATGCGCTGATATTGAGCTGCTGTAGAAGTGGTCTCATGGCCTGATGAACAGGGGTAATAATTGTAAAGCGCTTTGACACCTTTGGTATAAGGCAATATATAAGCAACACATTACTATTATTATTAAAGTTATAGTCCATCATTTGTAATTTGTGCATTTTGTTCGTTTGAAGCAACAAAAGTGCTCAAAATCTAAAGAAGGGTACTGAACAACTAACCTGATAAAATTTCAGCTCAGCTTCAGCTGTATAATCTGAGAAAAACAGCATTCTGGGATCTCAATTTCAAATCAAAAGTTGCTGAATCATGTTTTGAATTGCGCCTGAATTCAGCGTCCGAAACACGTTCTCGATGAGCCGAAAGCAGCTACGCGATGTCGCGCACTGATCTGACGAGTTATAGCAACCGGGGGTGCGTTGTGCGTCGTGCCAATGCTTGCGCGTGCTTCGCCGAACAACAAAACGAACTACTAATTTAAATTTTCCTACGGTGCGTCTTAAGAAGCACCGTTGGAAGGCCTTCTTTCGTTGATTACTTCAAAATGACAGCTTGCCAGAAAGAATAATTTCACAGGGAGTTTAGTCCCCTTACTATCTTTCAACCAAGTATGTTTTTCAACAATAATTATGCCAGCTACTTTTCGGATAGCTGCAAATGATGGACTATAGCTTTTAGTAAGCACCATTATTTTTCTTGCTAAATATTTGAATGTTTCATCTCTGGTTTCTTTGCAGCTCCAATGATGACGACTCCAACACCACCTGGTAAGAACACTCTTTGCTTTGTTTTCATAACTCCTCATTCGTTTATTTCGTGACCTGCCTGTTACTGCCTATGGGCTCCACGCACCAACAAGAGAGGGCGCTTTTTAATCACACGTGTGGACTGGTTTCGCGCAAAGTATGCACGACTAATCTGTACAAAGCTAATTAAGCCATTGCACGTTTGATGAATGCCAGATGTTGTCAGCGATGCATTTGAATGTATCTTCAAGTGCCCTCCCCCAACTCGCCCTTATCATTCAGGATATACTTGAGCACGAAGCCCATACCGCCCCAGACTGCCCTAGAACTGGTTGCTTTCATGGATTCTTCAGGGAATGTTAATAATACAAATTTAATATAGTTGCTAACCCTCCTGCTATCTGAACAGTCACAGACAGTCAAAAAAAGCAATCCGCTTCCCCTGCCATATTCCTTTGTACACAGGCTAGTCACCAACAGTCAGATCATATTTCAAGCAAGCACAGTGACCAGTCAAATTCAGTCAACAGACAAAAGCAGACAAGTGGTGGGCACAGCTGGCTTATCAATCACCTACAGTCAAAGCATAACTGTATCAAGTTACATAAACAGTCACAGCCAGTCAATCCTGCTTTACGTAGGCTGGGAGCTCTCCACTGTTGAAAACAGTCACTTGATTGATTTTGACTGAAATGACTATTCGGCACGGAGTGTATGTTTGTATAGGAGGTTTTAATTAATGAGTTAATTACTTCAAGCTTAAATCTTTAATTGTCATTCAATCCTGCAGTGAAGAACTGTTCGACCGGTGATACTGATTGGAAGGAGTTGGATTCATACTGCTATTACGTCAGCAATACATACGTCAGCTGGCATGATGCGGAGGAATGGTGCAATCAAAACGGCGGCTACCTGGCATCCATACACAGTGCAGTGGAGAATCAGTTCATTCTAGATTTGGTCAGTTTTTTCCCCATTCCGCTCTTCCCCTCCCCTAGCTTGCCCCCCTCCCCCCCCCCCCCCATTTTTTTTCATTTCCCTTTTGGAAATATTGTTAAATCTACCGAACTTAGGGGAGAAATAGTCAAGCTGTTTGGGTACATTGATGGAGAACCAGAAATTACTTAACCAGTTCACGCCGGGATTATTTTGACGTTTCCAGACCCAGGCGTGGGATTGGTTTCACAATTCTTGAAAACCATCATCTACCCGTCGTCTTCGGGTAGCACACCCTGATATATGCAAGTGGGTTGCTGACAGCTATTTCCGGCCTCGTCGTTGCGTGTTTATCCGTCATCTGTTCAGAATACCAGATTATAATTATAATTCCCTTCGATTTCAGTTCCCATACAGGTATCAGACCGCTTGGATTGGCTACAGCAAGATGTTTGATGGAAGTGGCACTGATAAGTACCGGTATGTATTTGTTGAGATATTTGAAGATATGAGTAACTAAAGGGTATGATAATGTGGGAGAGAAGTTTACGACCAGACTTCTAGAAATACTCCACCACACAACTACTCCCATTCATAAATAACTATCTTTTGTCAATTGTCAAAAAAAAAAAAGAACAGTAAAAAAATGTGCAACATTCACTGATGTTTTGTCCAAGTTCGTGCCACTGCTATATTTAAAGGTAAAGTCCATCATTTGTAATTTGTGCATTTTGTTCGTTTGAAGCAACAAAAGTGTTAAAATCTAAAGAAGGGTACTGAACTTTGTAATTTGTGCATTTTATTCGTTTGAAGCAACAAAAGTGTTAAAAAGCTAAAGAAGGGTGCTGAACAACTAACTAACCTAATGAAGTTTCAGCTCAGCTTCAGCTGTATATTTTGAGATACACAGCATTCTAGGATCTCGATTTCAAATCAAAAGTTGCTGAATCATGTTTTGAATTGGGCCTGAATTCAGCGCCAGAGACACGTTCTCACTGAGCCGATTGTAGTTACGCGATGTCGCGCACTGATCTGACGAATTATAGCAGCTGTGCGCGCAAGTGCGTCGTGCCAACGCTTGCGCGCGCTTTGCCAAATAAAAAAGTGAACTACTAACAGAAATTTCCAACGGTGCGTCTTAAGGCCAGAGAGAATAATTTCACAGGGAATAATTTCACAGGGAGTTTAGTTCCCTTACTATCTTTCAACCAAGTATGTTTTTTAACAATAATTACGTCAGTTACTTTTTGGATAGTTGCAAATGATGGACTGTAGCTTTAAGTCCTGCACGCTTGATTTGCCCAAAATCTATTCACCTCAGTGGTTTTTCGAGCATCTAGTTATGGAGTACCGAAGTGTGACGTCATTTAGAACCAGAAAGTGTAGTGCAAACGAATGGAGTACGCGCGCATGTTGGTTCTCGGGCCGAATCGCGCGCTTATGCCTCTTACACACATTTTGTGCACGTGACGTAGTAGGCACGCGTGGCATGTACTTGCACGCATGTTGGCAACTTGCAGCGTCTCGCGACCAATTTTTCAACATCTCTGACTGACGTTTGAAAGTCGGTACAAGACCACCCATGCCACGGGCTCTCGACGAATAGGAATGGGTCAACAGCATGAATGTTTCATTTAACGCTGCTGAAGAAGATGCAGATTTTTTTTTTTTTTTCAGTTTAAATAAATCCTGGGCCTAGATGATTGATTTACATATATATCTCAGCAAATAGTGCAGTAAATTTCACAACATCTGTCTATTTTGATTTCAGTTGGACCGATGGTTCGGATCCCTTGGACTACACGTCAGGATGGGGGGTCGGTGAACCAGATGACCAATTTGGCTCACAGAAGTGTGCAAATATGGAATGGGGTAAGAAGATTGAAGAAACTAAGAAAATCAAACTGGCCATATTTTTTATCGAGTACAGTTGTTATCTTTGTTACAGTTGAACACTGTCTTGAGATATGGTTTTTACACGGGAAGCCTTTTTTTTATAATTCGAAATTTAGCATAAATGGTGGTTTTGCATATAGCATGTATTTTGATGTATGAAGATTCGTATTACTTGTATGATCACGTATTTCGTACCGTTTTTCCAATGAGATTTAGCATTCAGCTCTATAAGCCATTGGGATGAGTGTAAAAAGGGTAGCAGAAGATATCTCATATTTGGTGTGTGCTGTCAGAAAGCTCGCTCAAGAGGGAAGTTTTTCTTGAAAATGTCAGCACACCAGGAGCCACAATTTTACAGGATGCTTTAGACTGTCAATCCCTAAAAATTCAGTAAGGTATTTCGTGATAATTTGATCAATTTGGTTTTTTGATGTTTGCAAATGTTGTATCTTCCCTTTTTAATCTGTTTTAATTTGGATATTAAATGAAGTCCATGTTTTCTTTCAGACGGCACTTGGGAGGACAATAACTGCGGTGCTCTGGAAGGTTTCGCTTGCAAGAGGAGGTCCGACAACACGGCACCGATCACTTTTCCCCCGCCTCCACCGCAAGTTGGAAACTGCCCCGCTGGCTGGAACAAGATAGAGACGGGTTGCTACCTGATCAAGGGTGACACAGCAGACTTCAAATCCTGGGAAGATGCGAGGACTGAATGCCAGAAACAAACCAACGGGGATCTGGCATCCATTCATGACCAAGGAGTCCAGTGTAAGGCATTGTCAGTTTTGTCATTGAGACCTTTTGTCGTCAAAACCTTTGTATGTTTAAACAATTGTGTACATTTGCAGAGACAAAATAATTCCAGTAACTAGCGCAGAGAGTTAATAATGTGATGAATAATTATAATGTAATCATACCATTCAAATAATGACATAATAATATTCAAATTAGGTCTTGCCCTTCACCGACGTTTAAACACTGTATACTCAGTGTGTTACCTCCCGAGTGAAAGTTGGAAAAAATCACTCGGGTGGGACTCGAACCCACGACCTCCTGCTTTCTAGTGCGGCTGTCTTACCACTTGACCACCGAGCTAACGGGATCGGTTGGCCGGTTTGAATCTGATATACATAGCAGCGGGTACCGCATAAACTATTATAAGAATTTCATCAAAAATTCCATCTTATAACTTTTCCAAAGGTTACAAAGCGCACTGAAGACTGCTCAGATAGAATTAATACTGATGTTTGAGTAAATGTTGATAAGTAAAAAATAAATTGTATAGGGCCAAAACCTTACAAGATCTTTTCAAGGCCTTTTTAAAGCACTTTCACAGTGAGAACATGTGGAATGGTCTAGTGTTACTATATACCACGCAAAGCAGTCAATATTTCGATATTGTCATTGCTGTTTTCTCTACAGCCCTGCTAACATCCATGATCAAGTCGCACACGGGTAACATGTGGATAGGTCTAGTGTTACTATACCACTCAAAGCAGTCAATATTTTTATATTATCATTTCTTTGTTCTTTACAGCTCTGCTAACATCCATGATCAAGTCGCACACTGGTCACATGTGGATAGGTCTAGTGTTACTATACCACTCAAAAGCAGTCAATATTTCAATATTGTCATTGCTGTTTTCTCTACAGCTCTGCTAACATCCATGATCAAGTCGCACACTGGTCACATGTGGATAGGTCTAGTGTAACTACACCACTCAAAAGCAGTCAATATTGTTATATTGTCATTTCTTTGTTCTTTACAGCTCTGCTAGCATCCAAGATCAAGTCGCACACTGGTAACATGTGGATAGGTCTAGTGTTACTAAACCACTCAAAAGCAGTCAATATTTCAATGTTGTCATTGCTGTTTTCTCTACAGCCCTGCTAGCATCCATGATCAAGTCGCACACGGGTAACATGTGGATATCACTGCGTGGTGGTACTAGTGGATGGTGGGGCTATCACTGGGCCGATCAGAGCAACGTGGACTACGAACACTGGGCCTTAAACCAGCCCAGTTATTACTTTGTAAGTCAGACAGTCCAATCTGTCATGTTATCAGCTGCCGGACAATAAACCAATCCATTAAAGGTAGAGTAGATCATTTACTTACAAAATTATTGTTGAAAAGCTTACTTGATTTAAAGATAGTAATTTGGCAATAAACTCAGTGCTAAATTATTCTTTCTGGCAAGCTGTCATTTTGAAGAAAACAATGAACAAAAAGGCCATTTCCAAAGACGCGTCAAGTGACGCAGTTTTGGAAATTTCCGTTAGCAGTTGGTTTGTAATTGGGCGAATCCGTGAATGGGTTTGCGCAAGCGTTGACACGACGCGCACACGCGCGCTGTTGCTTTTAGTCGTCTGATCAGTGCGTGACATGGCGATGCGGATTTCGGGCGCAGATCGAGTTCCTAAAATATTGTTTTCTCGGAATAGACAGCATTCATCACAGAGCTAAAACTTCATCAGGTTTAATTGTTAAGGACCCGTCGTTTTGAGCGCTTCTGTTGCTTCAAACAAAAAACTAAAATGCACATATGGCAAAATGATCTACCCTATCTTTAAGCCCCGCCCAGTAATATTCTGACCAATCACTGCCGTGATAAATGTCCGTTTATGAAACTTGGTGCGGGCATAGACCAACTTAATATGAACATACCCAAGAAATTTCAGGACTATAGTTAAAAGTGTTTTGGAATTATTGGCTAATTTATTATTCATATGCACCAATGGTAATTCTGCTTTGTGTACACTACATGGGGAAATTCTGTTTTCACTGTGCGCCGAAAAAAATTCGCTGCGCCGTAACCAGTGGTCAGATTTTATGTTTTTGGTATCAAAAGATGCGCAAGACTCGAGGCTAAAAAGTCTGGAAAGCTCTGGTCGGGATACATTTTTTGCAAGGGTATCGCGGAAAAAGTTGAAGGGGAGGGGTAGTTATAATGTACCTGGTCAGTTTCCCTATGTGGTTTCCTCGGGGGAAAAAGGCAAAAGTTAGTATTTATTTTTTCATTTTTATTTCTTTCTGGTAATGAAACCAAGAATTCCTCAAAAAGCCTGACGAAACCTGTAGAGAGGAGACAATGAGAAGAAATTACAGTTTTAGAGGTGGGAGGAAAAGCTCAGAAGAATATTCTGGGGAAAACCCACGGAATCAGGTAGGGACTGAAAACCCAATCCACATATTGGCCCAGGCGGGATTCAAACCCAGGCCATGGAGGTGGAAGACGAGAAAAGTAATCACTGTACCAACCTGATTTCCCGGGTTGCAGGTTCAAACCCCGCTCCAGTCAATTTCTTTGTTCAACGTTATTAAAATAGTTACAATGCACCTAGTCAGTTTCCCTATAGATGTGGTTTCTTTGGGGGGGGGGGGGAATGCCAACGTTATGTTATGTTAGAAATCAATCACCAGTTAACCAAAACTCTGCGATCAACCTTGCTGCTTGATGTTCCTCCTTCAGGATCAAACCCAGTGTGTGGTGATGGTGAATGACCCGGACTATCCAGGGCGTTGGGATGATCAGCCTTGCGCTGACACACATGGCTACCTCTGTTATCAACCACTCGGTAAGTAGAATGCTGCCAGGAGCCTGGATATCGAACTTGAAGAAATTAAGCACGGATCCGTCTTAATCTTGTGGAGTGCCGTGGCCTCGTGGTTAAGGGCATTGAATTCGTGGTCTGCGGGTAATTCTGCGGGTTGTGGGTTCGAGTCCAGCCTGGCCGGGTTATGGTGCGTGTGCCCTTGGGCAAGGCACTTTGTCACTCATTGCTTCTCTCCACCCAGGAGTAAATGGGTACCTGTGAGGGCAGAGATGGTTATTGTGATTGAATAAGCTTGCTTGCGCCTAACAGGCAGCATCGAGCTGTATACTCCCCAGGGAGCTGAGATGGTATTTTGGAATGTTTAATTGGCCCAGTGATCAGGGGTAATAATAATACTGTAAGCGCTGGGATTTAGTTTTACTAATAAGAGCGTTCTTAAATGCGATTATTATTATTATTATTATCACAGAAAAACAATTGTCAGCAAAGGGCAAAAGCCCAATATTAAGTGCGTCGGAGCATAGATAACAAGTTAGTGACAGGCAGCCCAGTTTTCAGCATACCTTATTTCATAGTTATCACCAAGGTACTTATGTTGGATCACAAGACCATTACAGGAAAATCGCACATCAACTCATGAATCCAGTCACCAGTAACAAGGGACAATAGCGGATACAGGGGGGGGGGGGGGCACTGATGCCCTTTCCCTCCCCCTCCCCTCCCCCCCCCCATTTTTAACAATTTTGTTTTAGGTACGTTGTGTCTTTTTCCCTGTTTCTTCTGCTGTCAACTGGTTATTTAATCACTTCAAAGACAGAAATGTTCACCAACGTAAACAAATGATATGCCTCACTTGTATGTTCGGGTTTTGCTTCATTTTCAGGACCCCCCTTTTTTTTGGAAATGCTAGATCAGCCAGTGAGGGATGAACAGTAACAAAGGAATGATTCTCACACGGTTCAATGAATAACTTGGGACTTGGTTTGGGACTTGATGATATAATTGGAATTCACTTGTAATGAACTTGTGGTGACTGTTTTTTTGTTGTCTTATTAACCATGAAATTCTCAAGAATACAGACCACACTGTCTATTTTCTCGGGTTATGGCGTTGTGTGTCAGATTTGGCAAATAATTGGAACACAACGTTGAGAAGTGAAGAAAAGGTTGAGATTGTCTCCATCTCAAGGTGTCTTCAATCCTCTCCAATACCCTTCCGAGCCAGGAAGTACATTTCCGTAACTGCATTATAAATATTTCTACACACAGATGCAAATCTGCCCACCGTAGCGCCACCGATCGACGACTGTAAACTAGACGACTACGAACCGTACTATGACGATTGCTTCAAGGTCAACACCACGTATGTGCCCTTCCAGGACGCCCTGAAGTCCTGCGCCAATGATGGAGCATACCTAGCAACTGTCGTTGATGGTTTTGATGAGGCTTATCTGATCACGATGCTGTATGCAAGGGGCTTGGATGCTGCCTGGATTGGCTTCGCAGCGTCCAATGTAAGCCGGGGGTTGCAAGCGAGGGGGAGGGGGGTGTTTTGAAGCGGGGGGAGGGCTGACATTGTTCCCAGTGGCTTAAATCCATATCAGCAGGTGGGGGGGGGGGGGGATGGGGATGACCAAAAGTAAAAAATTGCCTGGCCGTGGAAATTTGAAAAGCGGGGACAGGCCTGGACGCAATTTTTTTTTCCCCAAACGAGATCAGACAATATCAATAGAGGGCGCTTTCTCCGTGTTATGCATATTCATGATGTCCAGGGCTTTAGAGAATAATTTATATAACGAGGAATAATGGTGTTTAAATCGCCGACGATTGGCAGCTGATTCGTGGACTGGTTGGAAGTAGTCCTGACTTCTAATCAGGTGATCCGAGTTCGAATCTCAGTGAGTGTTTTTCACTTCTTCTCATTTTACCTTTCAAATAACTCAAGTGAGGAAGAAACATTTCTCACAAGACGTTAAGCCTATCTTGGGTTTGAGTTGTGGAGAACAAGGCATTAGATATGCATGTAATGGACCAATCAGAAGATGGGAAACGGATGTCGTTTGGGAAAAAAAAAATCGCGGCCTAGACACCACATTGCACTTGGGGCCCTATTCATTATACAGATGGACATCTTATGTGCACTTATGTGCCTTAACCTTACATAAAATACGACGCCTTTAAAGTTTTGTACCTTTTCCCTCCATTTTTCAACGCTACTTATTAATACATTTTGGCAGTTGCAAAGTTAAAAAAATACCTTTTTGTTTCTCACCACAATTTCACAAAGAAATGAGGGGGAGGGGGCGGAACCAATGGCCCATTCCCGTAGTCAAAATTGAGGGGATATACGACTTGTGATGGACTTGTGATGGACTACAACACCACTCAATACCCTAAGTATTAGCTCCATTGTTTTTAAACTCTATTTGTTTAATCCCAGAGCACCGGCACATTTGTCTGGGCGGACCAGCGGCCAGATTCCTACATCAACTGGGGCCCATACCAACCCAACGGTCCAGGCAACTGCGCGGTTCTGACCAAGCAGGCTTATTGGGTCAACGTCCCTTGTGACGAGGGGTACCCATTCTTCTGTCGAATCAACGATCAACCTTGTAAGTTTCACTGGTTTTCTTCCGTTTTGTCAAGCAGTGAACGTTACATCTGTTTCAGAGTTGTGCAAAACAAGAGGCGACTCAGATCAACCCCAAGAGATTTTAGTTTTAGACAGGCAAACTTTTTGTATGACTTTTCTATTGACTAGACTCTGGGAGCATTCCAAACGACTGCAGCGCTTCATCTTTCAATATAGTCGCTCCTAACTGTTCGAAGCAATGAACTTTTCATGTCTTTAATTCAATTCCAAGAAATAAATTGGTTCGGCATGACTCTCAAATGCCAGTCAGAAAAAGTTGTCCATTTCTTTAATTGCAACTACAAAACAAAATTGACATGGAGTAGAATTCTTATCTACATCTGCAATGCTGGAGCTCTGTAAAATCGCAACATTTTTTGTTGTTGCCCTTTTCAAATTTTTGGAGATGCACTGCTTACAATAACCCCATAGACAATTGCACTGTTAGACAATACTTTGTTTCAGTTTGACCGATGCAAACTTTTTCTGCTATCACAGTTGTGCCTTGAAGCCAATTTGTGGTCTCACCTTGTAAACTTCTACACAGATCCATTCCTTAGTAATTCCAGAGAAGTGTGCTCATGTCCCATCACTGATTGGACAAACCTCTAGTTTCTTTGTGAACCATTTTCTTTATTATCCCATTTTTTTTTTACCCCAGTCGTACCCCCCACTTGGCCCCCCGCCCTGCCAGGCAGCTGTCCGGACAAATGGGTCCCGTATGGTGACAACTGCTACATGTTTGCGTCAGGCGGTAGTTACGTCACCTGGTACGAGGCCTACGTCAAATGCTCCATGGACTACGGAGGTGCACAACTCCTGGCCATCCACAGCAGGGCCGAGAACACGTTCATCCAGAAGAATATTGATAATATCTATTCGTGGACCGGCGTGTGGCTGGACTTGAGTCGCAACAAAACTGGTAAGCAGAAACTTAGCAGTGAAGTGTGAAATTTGGACTCTTATGTAATACAGATTCCTTGGCTGTTCTGCTCATGCCTGAGTGAAGATAATTACAAGATAGTAACAGGGCCCAATTTCATGGCCCTGCAAACTACAGAATTCCGCGCTAACGATCATCATTCTGCGCTAACTGCGCAAGCAGAAAACTTCTGCGCTAACCCTGTAAGCACAGAATCCTTAGTTACGGGATGTACGCATGCCCAGAAGCCAAAATTCCTCGCTTACCTGTGAAATATGCTTGCTGTAAGCATGGAATTTTCTGCTATAGTAAGCAGGGATTTGTCGCTAACAGTAAGCAGGGCCAAGAAATTGGGCCCAGGTCGTGTGAGGGTTAGAGTATATATAAGTAAGTAGGGACCAGATTTCATAGGAGTCCAAATTTTGATGAAGTACCCCTAGTCTGGTCAATTTTTATCTTAAATTTAAGCCCCGGTATCGTTTTTCATTACATTTTTATTTAAATTGAAGGTAGTGAGTATTATCAAAAAGATTTCAGACTGAGATAGTTGTATTTTCAATTGTACAAGTTCTGATTTACAGCAGAAATTGAAAGATACATATAGACTGAATCAAAACTGATGGGCTTTCCCTGACTAGATTGCTAATATACTAGCAGTTTTGGCAGAAAATTCCGCACTAGCTAGCTGTGGGTTGTCAGCAGATTAGCGCAGACTTTCCGCTTAGGCGCATGCATTTGGAATTAGGATTGTGTTCTAATTGCAGGGTAAACGCAGAATTTCTAGACTAGTGCTGTAAGCACAGAATGCCATGGTTAGCAAAGTAATGAGATTATACCAAGTTTTTCTTTGGCAGAAACTAATTCATTGACCTGCAGTTACTGGGATGGAACCATGCTCATCACGTGCAGGTGGTACACACACACTCAATGCTAGAACTGTGATCTGAAGTGTTACCAAAATGTGCTCTTATTTGACCAGGCGCATGAGCCTGGTTCCACCTGACCATTATATGGTAGGATGTCATGGTCTGTAGAATGCCATGGTCCAGTGGTTGTGGTGTTTGATGCAAGTACGATGGTATGTAGGTTCGAGCTCTGCCAGGAGCATGGTGTTTGTGCCCTTGGGCAAGACACTTTACCACAATTGCCTCTCACTGCCCAGGAGTATAAATGGGCACCTGTAATGAGGGTTAGATGACTGAATGTGCGCTGATATCGGCTGCCGTGTGGTCTCGTGGCCTGATGAACCGGGGAATAATTGTAAAGCGCTTTGAGATTGTTCGTTTCTCTCAGTAGTCTCCCCCAACTCCCCCTTTGCAACCGTTGATCGGGGATACATGTCCACGGACTCCATAAATTCTTTTAGTATTGGCATCAAGATAACATGACAAATCCTGTACCTTCCGAATATTTCTCTTAATAGTGAGTAACCAGTATGAGTTTTTTTGGAACGACGGACACCCGTTGGATTACGACAATTGGAGACACGACGAACCCAGCCAGGAGGGATACTACAGTAAAGACTGCGCCATCATGATGCCCGGTGCCTACGGAAAGTGGGAGACGGACAGCTGCACATTCGGCAATGGCTTCGCGTGCCAGAAACCCAAAGGTAGCTATAAGAACCTGTCCGAATTGTAGTCAAGTTAGGACTCGTCATTTTAAGTCTTCCAGACTCTAGCCATCCAAGTGGAAGGCATTCCTTAGACACTTTTGGAATCCAGACAAAAAGTGTTAGTGTCCGTATACATACGACAATGGCTGATATGTGTAAGCATACATGTATTAAAGTTTTCGAGTTTGAAAGTACAGTTTCAAAATTCTGTTATTTTAACCAGATTTAATTTCCTTGGCTGAAATTCGGACTTAATATCCCTTTTCTAAAACTCTACCATTTGCGACAGATCAACATACCTTGGAAATTCCTAGTTTTCGAGTAAAATCCATATATCTATTTCTAGAAAACCTTGTGGAGACGTATTCATCTAAAGAAATTGCCCTGTGGAGATGTATACAATCTTTTGTTCCCTATTGTGTGCATGTCTCCAGAGGGCACGGTGTATCAGATCACGAGAACAAAGAAATGTCTCCACAAGGATACAAATTTCCGTATGTGAGAGGTCGTGTTCAAATAGCAGTTTCGGCATCACGCCTCTGCATGTACCTATTTCTGCCCAGGAAACCAAGTCAAAATTTTGTCTTAAAAATGCTTATTATTCACCAAATGCCGTGAAAAATTCACTTTAAAGAGCTTCCAATAAGCCTCTGTACTGATGACGTCACACTTTGTTCACCAGGTATGTAAACTTAACCTTGTTTTGGACTTCTTATGAATGCAATTACAAATTGAAAAATACTGTACAAAGTCTTGTATGGTTTGGAGTTGTCTTCTTGTTCTAAACTCCCAGTTGCATGCTTGTTTTACATGTACGATTTTCTACGGTGCTACGAAACTGTCCTCCCCACTAGGCTCCCATAAGAAAGCACACATATAAACAAAGTGTGACATCATCAGTACAGATTTTCAATCTGACATGTCTGGTTCATTATTAAAATAATATTAAGATTTTTATATTATTATTAAATTGAAAGAAATTTTGATGAATGGGAGGTTTGCGGTAACACCATGTAATTGAAAGATATCTTTTATTGAGTTGTGTGGTTCTGAGAAGAACCAGTTGGTTTTAACTCGACGTTTCGAACAGTGTGCTCTGCTCGTCATCAGGAGACGAAAAGAAATTTTGATCGAAAAAGATGGAAATTCATACTCACTGATCCCGTGGCACTTTCTTGCATTACGTATGAGAAGAATGCATGAAGTGATGACGGCACATGTAAAAATCGATAATGGTATGTGATACAGGCAGGATTTTCAGACTCTCTATTATTCAGTCCCTTGTGACCTTATGACTTGTGATTTAACTTGTGATGAAAGCGTGAAGGACTTGTCATTCTATGATGCATTTCATAGGCACAACTAAAGATGTAAAAGTGCTCAGTTTTGTCTAAAAGTGATTCTTCGCTTGATCATGTTTGTACAGCAGATTAGCAACTCTTCAGACTTTGTAATATAAATTTGTTTCAGTTATTCATTCCGGTTTTTGTAATGAACTGGCCTTATCCTTAAATGCAGTTGATATTAACATTTATTTTTGGTCTCATTTCCTTTTCTCATTACTTTTCAGTTCCGGTTCCCGGTAAGTAGCTTTGTTATGACGACATTGAACATAATCATTATTTGTAATTTTCTAGTCTTATAAAAAAACTTGACCCCCTCCAAAAAAAACCCCACAAAAATATCTGAAATATTAAAAAATATCCAGGGAAACCAATTTAATAATTTCTGAGGGAACAAAATGCTTCTCTTTGAAAAATTGCTGTAGAAATGTTGGAATAAGCCAGACTTGTATTCAAGTTACCAAACATCAAGTCTGAGTTTGAGTCGCCTCTCCCGAGTCCGAGTCCTGAGTTATGAAGTTCGAGTCTGAGTCCAAGTCTGAATCCGCATATAGAGTCGGACTCTGAGTCCAAGTCCAAGCCCTAGTCATTTGTCATCGTGACTTGAAACCAAGTCCGAGTCACGGAAAATGGGACTCGAGTTGGACCCGACTCGAGTTGGACCCGACTCGAGTTGGACCCGAGTCCGAGTAACCAGTCATACAAGTCTGGAATAAGCTGTTAGTAAACATGCATGATTATACCTAAACAAGACAAACATTATTCACAGTAACTCCCTGAAGTTATGTGAGGAGTCAAAGAATTTTGTTTTTCTGTTCTCGGCACCAGAGGGTGGCTGTGAGAAGGGCTGGTTCAGGATGAACAATTGGTGCTACGGAGCGTTTGGGATGTTTGAGCCCGACGCCAAGACATGGCCCGCTGCCGAGAAAGACTGCAACAGTAAAGGCGGAAACTTGGCCACCGTCTACGGACAGAGTGTCCAGTGTGAGTATAAAAAAGAACCATTTTACAGAACTTTTTCTGTCAATAGTGAAATGCAGCCAAGCTCGAAGGAAGGTTTTCGTAGATGCTGTTTCAGTATTAGGCGATGTCGAATTTTTCAAGGGATATTGTTCGAACTCTTTACTATTACTCATAGTTTTGTCAAAACATGTATCGGTTTTAATTTCCCCACAGGCATCTATCTCTTAAACTCCAAAAACATTTTAAAATTAGAAAGAATATATCCTTTGTTCATCTCAGATCCTCAAGTCAAAAATGATTTGTTTTCTTGATGTTGAAAAAAAGTGCTCAAAATTACCAATTAGAAAAGACCAAAGATAGTTCTTGGATCCATTCAACAACCTCTTTGATATACTGATTTATTACTTTGTAAGGTTGGCACAGTGGTTACTGTCCCTGCCTTCCACAACTATGGCCCTGGGTTCAATTCACATGTGGATTGGGTTTTCAGTCCCTGCCTGATTCCGGTGGTTCCCCCGGAATATTCTTCTGGGGTTTCCCTCCCACCTCTAAAGCTGTAATTTCTTCTCACTGTCTCCTCTCTACAGGTTTCTTCAGGCTTGGGAGCTACAGTGCCTAGGGCGCTTTTAAGCAATCCTTGGTTTCATTACCAGAAAGAGATAAACTAAATTAACAAAAAAACGCGAGCTAATTCTTCTCAGTAATGTGACTTTTCTTGTCTATCCTTTTCTTTTCAGCTTTACTGGAAGGGATGATGTCCGAGGAGAAACAGTCCTTTGCTTGGATCGGCCTGAGCAAGAGACTGACCGGGTTCTTTGAGTGGGCGGATGGAACACCATTCCATTTCAAGAACTGGGCCGCGGATAACCCCGATCAAATCGTAAGCATTATCTCAGCTGGATGTACATTTGATTCTCGAAATGTCCCAGTCTGAGTCCGATTCACTAAGTGTCTAATGAGTCCAAGCAACTAAGTATCTGCGTCTGTATCTGTATCATTATAGTCGGTAAAGCATCCCAGGGAAAACATCACACCAACTTAGAGAGAAGACATTGAGAAGAAATGACAGTTTTAGAGGTGGGAGGAAAAGCCCAGAAGATATTCTGGGGAAAACCCACGGAATCGGGTAGGGACTGAAAACCCAATCCACGTATTGACCCAGGTTTGACAGCAGTGGAAAACGAGGAAAGTACTGCTACGCCAACCCGACTCCCCTATTTGTGCACGCAGAAAGTTTCCATTTATCAAAGAAAACCTTAAAATGAACGCATTACTAAGGCAACCATTGAAAGAAGATGTGGTGATGTAGCATTTCAAGTGAGAAAAATGATTTTGGGAAAAGCAAGTTTCTGGCAGGGGTTTCAGAGTTGGGGGTCGGAACCTATGCTTTCATTTTGAATCCCTAAGGATTGAGTATAAATCGTTGATACTGTTCTCTCTCATCAGAACGATGAGTACAAGTGCGTCCGGCTGAACCAGGACACGACCTACCCAGGTCTGTGGAGCAACATCCCCTGCGGGTCCGAGGACGGGTCAGGCAAGGGATCCAAAGGGGGTTACATCTGCCAAAAACCTGCTGGTAAGTCCTCGCAAAAAAAATCAGTTTTGTAGTACCTGCTGAAGCAGTTGTCACAGGTGTATCAGACTCAAATTGACCAGCTCACCCTGGTAAGTGGTAAGCTCAGTGATCACGTGGTAAGTCACTAGTAAGCAGAACGTCGTTATTCACGCGGAAGCCGTTTTCGGTTGTGTTCCTTGAATCAATGCTACGAATTGTAAACTGTTGAATGGGATGGTGCCTGACCATTTTATGATTAGAGTGCGTTACAAGCCTCACTTGCAATTTTTTAGGGTATGTTTAATCACAAATTGAAGACTGCTATTTATATGTAATGATCCTTTATTTCCTTGATTTCATTTCTCATCGCAAGTTCAAAAAAATTGAGACTTTACCTTACTTTCAATTTAATATGGCGGACTTGTGGAGTGAAGAGAGTCTATTCCATTGACTATGTCAACAGAAATTAACACATTAAGTTAAAGAGAAAATACAACATTTGCAAACTTGAAAAAATAAAACTACCAAATTATTATGAAATACCTTGTCGGACTGTTAGTGAATGACAGTCTTAAGCATCCTGTCAAATCATGGCACCTGGTATACTGTCATTTTTAAGAAAAGTGGTGTTTTTGTATCAATTCCAACGCTGGTTGGCTGACCACCGTTGGAAAAAAACTGGTTTTTTTTTCAAATACTGCCCCCCAGTTGACCATATTCAGTTAGTCCGCATTTGTTTGCAATCGATTACCCAACTATAAACGGGTACAAGCCAGCGAGACTGGTGCCCTAACCTTACAATTCCCCAATGTCTATAAATTGCTCCGTTTCATCTTAAATGGAGTCAGGGACACAGACTACAGGAAAATTATTGTTTTTCCTGGTTTTCAAGCATCTACGAACCCAAAACGTCAAAAAAAATCAGTGCAACAATATTTGCTATATTACCACCCCCCCCCCAAAAAATCCATCCATCCATTTCTGAAAATTATAGCAAAAGAAAATGATGTATATATTCCCTTTAATTAAACCTGTTTGAAACCAACAATGATCAGGGTCAACCCGGGTCACTCCTATTACTGTTTGGTTTTGAAGAACTCTGAAATGCCAGTCTGATCGCGTATATTTACCATCATCATTCCACCTCTCCCCAGATCCCAACCTACCCAACAACCCCACCGGCGAGACCTGTACCCAGGCTGGCTACTTCAAGTTTGATGAGATCTGCTACAAAGCCTACGGCGGGTCGGACCAGCTGAAGGCATTCCAAGCTGCGCAGGATCAGTGCGTGGCGGACGGAGGAACGCTGCCCAGCGTGCCCAACGGCTACGCGGAGGGTTTCATTGAGACGCTGCTGTTTTACTACGAGATCAAAGACGCGTGGATTGGCCTCAGGAGAGGAGTAAGCTTAACATATTTTCAAATTAGGTTTTTGCCCTTCACCGACGTTTTAAACACTGTATACTCAGTGTGTTACCTCCCGAGTGAAAGTTGAAAAAAATCACTCGGGTGGGACTCGAACCCACGACCTCCTGCTTTCTAGTGCAGATGTCTTACCACTCGACCACCGAGCTAACGGGATCGGTTGGCCGGTTCGAATCTGATGTACATAGCAGCGGGTACCGCATAAACTATTTTAAGATGGAATTTTTGCGCCGGGGTGAAGGGCAAAAACCTAATTTGATTTATATCACCCCGGCGCAAAAATTCCATCTTAAAATTAACATATTTTGAATATAGGTCATTCTGTAAATATAGGGTCCATTGTGTGGCATTGGTCCTGTCCCTGTTAAATTACGTTGTAATTTGCCATTCAAGTTTCATTAAGATGACTTAAAAATTATTTTTATCCCTCAGGCTTTTAAGCCGTGTGTTGTGTAATGCATGTTAAAGAACCCATTAACACTTATCACTACTAAGAAAAGGGGTTTGCCCCGGTGTTTCTGACAGTGGCTGCTATGTGCGCCGCAGCACCTTGTGAACCCTTATAAGGTGCTACATAACGCGTCTCATATTTCTCATAAATTTAATATTGACCTTTCTTTGCTAGTAAACATAATTTCCAGCACCTTGAGTACATAATTGTTGGTAGATACTTGCGCTATATAAGACTAGTATAAGAGTATTATTTTTAGATATCAATGTCAGACAAAACAGGCACAGGAAAAAATTTGGACCCCAAATGTATATAATTGTGACAGGCTTTCAAGTATTCCTACTTTACCTACTTTTTTCCTATTTTTGTTACCTGGCTCCTACTTTTTTCTTGAAATTCCCACTTTTTCCTAAATTTTGTCCCAGAACTTTGAAAAGTACAATCTCATTGAATATATTCATGACTGCGTTACACGCTGTCATGAAAATCACACAATGAAGGGCTTGGGCACAGGAGTACCGCAACTGTACTTCCAACTTAGTTGAGGATGGAGCATGAGTATTGCGAGTACAGAACATGCCAAATGAGACGTAGGATACTGTGGATATCATGGATCAGCGAAAACAACTTTTGAAAGCCAGCAAATGTCCTACATTTATCCTGAGTTTGTCCTCCAATGTCCTACTTTTGTCCTGTTTTGGTCCTACTGTTCCCTTGCTCTTTCACCTGGGTTTGTTTGGAAGTCTGGTATATGTAGCATTTTCCTTTGAGTGAATTACCCCAGTGAGTGTTTTTTTCCCCCCATTTATTGCAGGCTGATGGTCAATTTGCTTGGATTAACGACGACACCCACGCCTACCGCAATTGGGAGAAGGAACCAGACCAGGGGACCAACAATAACTGTGTGAGGATCAAGGATCGCCAAGTGTGGGATGCGGTGCCTTGCGATACCAAGCACAACTTCATATGCCAGATCGGTGAGTTACAAAAGTGATCATTAAAAAGAGCAACTGTATCTGCTAATCTTTTTTTTTAACCCTTCGAGCAGTGGTGCAGTGAAAAAAATCTCATTGTTTTCCAAATATGGTCATAATTTTTTTTTTTCAATGGGCCAATAAGGCCAAACTTCCATGTAATCCTCACCCCTACTATACACCACAAGCTGTAGACTCCCATTGGCCAGAACCTAGCCACTCCGGAGTAAGGAGTGTTGAAAGACAGAAGCCAAGATGGCGGCTAATGCCTTTGTGTAGAAATTGGAGATCTTGGTGGCCAACACCTAAGTGCCGCCGATCCCTTTGTGTCAACCCCACGTGCCGCCCAGAGCTCAGACAGGTTGTAAACAATCCCTGGCCATGTGAATGACCTATATCTTGTGCATGTACAGGCATGCCAGGGTTATCGACCTAGAAACTCGTAATGTGATAAAATTCTCATGGTGGTTCCACCGCGTAAATTTTTTGGGCTTGAAGCTCGAAGGGTTAACTAAAATATCATGTGTACCCAATAGGGAATGAATTAGGTTTTCTGCTTGAGACCACAAAGTGCTCGCATGAGGGATGTCAATATATCAATTTGTATTTGGCTTAGATCCTACTTGATGCATTGAAAATATGGGGAAATATTTTATATAAGATTTTATATAAAATGTGGCGAAGTGCCTTACCCGAGGCTGTTATTTATTCCAAAATGTCATATCCTCGTTCTTTTGTTTTTAGGTCAAACTGTGCCACCACCAAAAACAACTGGTAAGTGTTTCTTAAGAGGATGAATTTTATGCCTACATACAAAAGTTAGCGTAACAGCATGAGTTAAAATGTCATCACAAGACGGGATTTAACTCAAAGACTTGGGTGGACTCTCAAAGCTCCGATGTTGATTCAACACAAACTTGGCAAAAGAAAAGTATTTCTGAAAAGAACCAGAGATTTAAAAGTTGACTAAACAAAATTAAAGTGGTTCTGAAACGAACCAGAGATTGTAAACTTAACAAAATTAAGAGACAGTGTTTCTGAAAGGAACCAGAGACTGTAAACTTGACAAAAGAAACAGTGGTTCTGAAAAGAACCAGAGATGGTAAACTTGACAAAAGAAACAGTGGTTCTGAAAAGAACCAGAGTTTGTAAACTTGACAAAGAGACAGTGGTTCTGAAAGGAACCAGAGATTGTAAACTTGACAAACGAGACAGTGCTTCTGAAAGGAACCAGAGATTGTTAACGTGACAAAAGAAACTGTAGTTCTGACAGAAACCAGAGTTTGAAAACCTGACAAAAGAAACAGTGGTTCTGAAAGGAACCAGAGAGTGTTAACTTGACAAAACAAAAAGTGGGTCTGAAAAGAAACAAAGCTTTTGTTCTTTTCAGACGCACTTTTTCTTCTGTCAAGTTTACAATCTTTGTAAAGATTGTAAACTGACATACAAAGATTGTAAACTTGACAAAAGAAACAGTGGTTCTGAAAAGAACCAGAGATTGTTAACTGGACAAAAGAAACAGTGGTTCTGAAAGGAACCAGAGAGTGTTAACTTGACAAAAGAGACAGTGATTCTGAAAGATCCAGAGATTGTAAACTTGACAAAAAAGACAGTGCTTCTAAAAGAAACCAGAGATTGTAAACTTGACAAAAGAGACAGTGGTTCTGAAAGGAACCAGAGATTGTAAACTTGACAAAAGAGACAGTGGTTCTGAAAGGAACCAGAGATTGTAAACTGGACAAAAGAGACAGTGTTTCTGAAAGGAACCAGAGATTGTAAACTTGACAAAAGAGACAGTGGTTCTGAAAGGAACCAGATATTGTAAACTGGACAAAAGAGACAGTGGTTCTGAAAGGAACCAGAGATTGTAAACTTGACAAAAGAGACAGAGGTTCTGAAAGGAAACAAGAGATTGTAAACTTGACAAAAAAAACAGTGGTTCTGAAGGGAACCAGAGATTGTAAACTTGACAAAAGAGACAGTGTTTCTGAAAGGAACCAGAGATTGTAAACTTGACAAAATGAACAGTGGTTCTGAAGGGAACCAGAGATTGTTAACTTGACAAAAGAAACAGTGGTTCTGAAAAGAACCAGAGATTGTGAACTTGACAAAAGAAACAGTGGTTCTGAAAGATCCAGAGATTGTAAACTTGACAAAAGAGACAGTGTTTCTGAAAGGAACCAGTGATTGTAAACTTGACAAAATGAACAGTGGTTCTGAAGGGAACCAGAGATTGTTAACTTGACAAAAGAAACAGTTGTTCTGAAAGGAAACAGAGATTGTTAACTTGACAAAAGAAACAGTGGTTCTGAAAAGAACCAGAGATTGTAAACTTGACAAAAGAAACAGTGGTTCTGAAAAGAACCAGAGATTGTGAACTTGACAAAAGAGACAGTGTTTCTGAAAGGAACCAGTGATTGTAAACTTGACAAAAGGAACAGTGGTTCTGAAGGGAACCAGAGATTGTTAACTTGACAAAAGAAACAGTGGTTCTGAAAAGAACCAGAGATTGTAAACTTGACTAAAGAAGCAGTGGCTCTGAAAGGAACCAGGCATTCTAAACTGGACAAAAGAAACAGTGTTTCTGAAAGGAACCAGTGATTGTAAACTTGACAAAAGAAACGGTGGTTCCGAAAGGAACCAGAGATTGTAAACTTGACAAAAGAAACTGTAGTTCTGACAGGAACCAGAGATTGAAAACCTGACAAAAGAAACAGTGGTTCTGAAAGGAACCAGAGAGTGTTAACTTGACAAAACAAAAAGTGGGTCTGAAAAGAAACAAAGCTTTTGTTCTTTTCAGACGCACTTTTTCTTCTGTCAAGTTTACAATCTTTGTAAAGATTGTAAACTGACATACAAAGATTGTAAACTTGACAAAAGAAACAGTGGTTCTGAAAGGAACCCGAGGGTGTTAACTTGACAAAAGAGACGGTGATTGTGAAAGATCCAGAGATTGTAAACTTAACAAAAAAGACAGTGCTTCTGAAAGGAACCAGATATTGTAAACTTGACAAAAAAGACAGTGCTTCTAAAAGGAACCAGAGATTGTAAACTTGACAAAAGAAACAGTGTTTCTGAAAGGAACCAGAGATGGTTAACTTGACAAAAGAGACAGTGGTTCTGAAAGGAACCAGAGACTGTTAACTTGACAAAAGAGGCAGTGTTTCTGAAAGGAACCAGAGACTGTTAACTTGACAAAAGAGACAGTGATTCTGAAAGGAACCAGAGACTGTTAACTTGACAAAAGAGACAGTGATTCTGAAAGGAACCAGAGATTGTTAACGTGACAAAAGAAACTGTAGTTCTGACAGGAACCAGAGATTGAAAACCTGACAAAAGAAACAGTGGTTCTGAAAGGAACCAGAGAGTTTTAACTTGACAATGGGAAATATTAATAATAATAATAAAAAATGTAAAACCAGAGATTGTAAATTTGACAACAACAGAAAAAAGGGTTCTGAAAAGAACCAGAAATTGTAAACTTGACACTAAAAGTGGTTCTGAAAAGAACGGGAGATTGAGGAGCAGCCTGTGACAAACTATTTCCAAACAGCATTGTGGTGTTGAAGAACATGTTTTGGTTATGAAAAAAATAATTCCAATTACTTTTTATTTCCAAACAGCATTGTGGTATTGAAGAACATGTTTTGGTTATAAAAAAATAATCTCAATTACTTTTTATTTCCAGCTGCAGTTGGGACGAAGCCAACGAATCCTCCATCGAATCCTCCATCGAATCAAACAGGTACATAGTCATAAGTACATCGGTGATAATTCATTATTGTAAATATTGCAATCACAAGCTGTCACAAGCGTTACAGCAATTTTTGCTCTAAAAGGGTGCACACGTGAAGTTGGTTTTGAAAAATTCGTTTTGTTTGTAGCTGCTTTTGGGACGAAGCCGACAAATCCGCCACAGAATCAAACAGGTTTTGGTTATTAAAAATAATCTCAATGACTTTTATTTCCAGCTACCGTTGGGACAAAGCCGACGATTGAACCTCAGAATCTAACAGGTAGTCATCAGTACATGTGTGACAATTAATTTTGGAAATATTGCAATCAAAAGCTGTTAAAAAGCGCTACAGAAATTTTTGCTCTAAAAGGGTGCAAACGTGAAGTTGGTTTTGAAAAACTTCTTTTTGTTTGTAGCTGCTTTTGGAACGAAGCCGACAAAGCCGACAAATCCGCCACAAAATCAAACAGGTAGTTTTAAAGACATCTGTGATAATTTATTCTTGTAAATATTGCGATCATAAACCAGTAAAAGCTAAACTGCTTTGCTTCGCGTTGTCAACGTCCTTCTGCTGAGTCTTGATGTCAGAAAGGACGCGGTTCTTGTCTTGCTTGACCTAAGTGCACACTATTGATCATGACATTCTCACCCAACGGCTAAAGAACAGGTTTGGTGTCACAGGAACAGCAATCGAGTGGTTTAATTTCTACTTACGTGATCGTGAGCAGTTGGTTAAGATCGGTGATTTTGTGATACTGTCCGGAGTTCCCCAGGGCTCCTTTGCCGGTCTGCAGATTTTTACACTATGTACCTCTCCAGTTGAAGACATTGTTAAGCGTCACAAGGTCGATGGCATGTTCTATGCTGACGACTCTCAAATCTGTTTCAGTGTGGACCGAAACAACATTGACCCGTCGATCAGCGAGCTTGGGAAATATATCACAGAAATCCAGAAATGGACTAATGAGACCAAGACAGAGGTTATCCATCTGTCACCCTGTTCGATCATTCTCATATACAGCTCCCGAACTCTGGAACCGGCATCCAACACATATCAGAAATGCAAAAACACTGGATCTGTTCAAGACTTTACTCAAAACCCATCTATCCTTTATCCTTTGACTTTGAACATTTCTCCTGCCAATTATCTTACATTAGTTTGTGTTGCTCTTTTTCATATGCCGTGTTTTTTTTTGGTATATAATTTGTAGATAAAGGTTTTCTCTAATGGTACATCTGTATGTTATCATGCCTGTACAGCGCTTTGGGGTCTTATTGACAGAATTCGCTTGACAAGAATGGTTTATTATTAGCAAAAAAAAGCTTTACTTTTCGTTCTCATTTTATTTCTTGCTTCTTCTTTTTGTTCCCTGGCAAATCTCATAGACTTTGTACACGTCTTTTCTTCTGCTAGCCGATTTTGGTATTAATCTTTGTCACACACCATTCAAAGTTACCATAGGCATAATCCCTATAGCAGAGTTGTGTCCCGAAGAGTGACGTCATGATGACGCCATCATGGGTCACGTGATGTCATCTTAAAATTGCATATTTAAAAGTCCTATATCTAGAGAACTGTAAGTCTGATTGGGTTGAAACTCGGTATGAAGGTAGAACGGAATGTGTTATAGGTTCAAATTGAGGTGACGTCATGATGATGTCATCATGCGATTTTATATGAATTTGTTGAATTTGTGGGCCTTTAAGCCATATCTCATCAACAGAACATGCTAAATTCAAAATTCTTTTTGTTATGCATGTAGGCCTAGGCTTGTTAAGTCAAGCTTACGTGCCCAAAAAATGACAAGTGTGTGATGTCATGACGACGTTACTATCGTGAATTGTTTGGCTGATGTGGATCAGTTCATGACTAGTTATGACATCTAGAATTTTTGTCGTAAAATTTCATATTTTGGGCTTCCAAAGCACCATGTGAATCACAGAACTTTCTTCGTACATGACATTGAACATCATTGATAACATGATTGCATGTGGACAAACAGAGCATAAATATTTGACAAACGTGAAATGCAGAAATTTCCCTACGTTCCGTTCATCAAACAGACATAGACCTCAAATTATTATAATTATTATTATGGCAAGTATTGCTCTAAAAAGGTTTACTCATGTGAAATGGGTTTTGAAAAGTTTGTTTTGTTTGCAGCTGCTTTGGGGAGAAAGCTGGAGCCAGCCCCAAATCAAACACATCAGAGCACCTGCATTAGTGATAGTGCACCATTGTAATGTTCGAGTCATAAGTTGTCTTAACATTTGGGCAACTTGTCACACTAGTTATTACTCACTGTTTTAATTTTCTTCTTTCTTTTTTTCACTGTTGCAGTTGCATCAACCACACCACTTAACGGAACCCGCGGTAAATGAAGCTTTTGCTTTATCCTTTCTTAATGAACACAACCACGAAATTACTATTCAATTAAACTTCTTTGGGGCCGAATTTGTTTTAGTATTTTGCTTTTTACAAAGCATTTTTGTTAATTTTTTTTTTAATGATGTTGGGCCTATGGGGTAATATGTTTCTGCTTTTGCGGCCCCTGACCCAATTATCATTTGTTGATTTACTTGGCTTTTTTTTTTTTCAAGTACGTTTGAGACCGGTTTGGGGACTGGACGCTGATAATAGCCCAAACCGAATCCCATTCACAAGTACATTTTCGGTCAAAAAGTCCAAACTAGTCGAAAATTATATATTTCCAATTGTGTTGAACACTAGTTCATGTTTTCGAAAGCGCCTCTCTAGCTATGTTATGGTGTGTGTCTCTTGCGAGTAATGGTAAACATTTCCTTATATGGAAATTGCCGCGCACTGCTGCTTGATATGGCACAGAACGTGGCAGTGCCGCATCGTGTTAAGCCATTTGCGAGTTAAATTTGAATAAAATCTGGAACGCTGACTTAATACTATGCTTTGCACGTTTTAACCTAGCATTCTCCTGACCAAAGAGACTGTTACTATATCACGTGATTCGGGGCAAGCCTTATGCTAGCAACCCCCAGCTCCGGCATGGTCTGGTGTCTTGTGCCATTCTCACCCATTGTGAACGATGTATTGGTGCTGAGCGTCTCTTACGTAACTATGCAAGAGCTTGCCCCGAATCTTGTGATTAGCAACAGTGTCTTTGGTCTGGAGAATTCAAAGTTGAAATGTGCCAAGCATTCTGAGCAAGTCATTGTACCAGACGTTTTTCAAAAGTAAATCCCAAAGGGTATAGGTTACTCGCAAATGGCTTATTTAGGACTCTCGAAATACAGACTCATCGGTAGGATGGCGCATGAAAGAAAAGCCTGTATATTTTCCATGCATGGCCGAATATCAGCGACACTTTTACAGACGGTGGTCAATACCCAGACCAAATGTTGGCCAAAGAGAACAATTTGGTAACCTTTCCCGTTTTTGTGGGAGACAAGAACGTATTTATTTTACTCACTCTGTGTTATCATTGTTTGCTTTATTTGACAGAGCCGCCAACAAGGGCCCAGCCAAATCCTTATGAAGGTGATAATTATAACAAGCTATTTGGTTTTTTTCTTGTGAAGTTACAGCTGTAAATTGTTTGGCACTTTTGCAAGACATAAAAAAAACACGTATAACTCCATGATATAACATCAGACTTTTGTCAGACATCACCGGGTAGTGCTTATGGGTTTAGGTGAACAGTCGAACACCTTTATAACTAGGTCCTTGGATCTTTACGAATTACCTTGTTATAACAGGTACCTTGTATTAACAGTAACAGGATACAAAGACTTGGGACCTAAAATGTTGCTTGTTATAAGCAGTACCTTGTATTAACAGTGCTCCTCTTATCAGGGTTCGGCTGTATTTCACTGGGGAAAATGGGATCATAATATGAACTGCATCAATATGCATCGGGTTATTGTCTAGGACTGTTAAGGTAATTGTGATGCCTTTTCCCCTCCCTCCAGGTCTGAGTGGGGGCGCTATTGCCGGTATCGTCATCGGTGTACTGGTTGCCGTGGTCCTGATCCTAGTCGTCGTGGGTTATTTGGCCCTGAGGCATCGCCAGGTCGCTCTCAAAGCCCCAGATCTAGGCACGGCCACTGTCAGCGGCTTCGACAACGCCATGTACTCACCATCCGTGGAAGATGTCACCTTTGACACCAAGGGTGCGGGTGTGACTGACGCCTAAAATATATCAATCCCGGGGAAGGGGAAAGAAAGCAAAGCAAAATTGAACTTAAGGAAGATAATTTTTTTGTGGTAAAGGTTTCGTTTATAAAAACTTTTTAAAAAAATTGGGGTTGGGGAACAACAACAATCTCTTACAATTTCTGTCGTTAGGAGAATGCTTAACCCTTACCGTCCTGATGATTCGAATCCTCCAATTTTAGCAGAATTTTCAAAACCTTTATATAGGGATTAGGATTAATACATAAGGTTTTATCTTTTGGGTCTGGTGAGGCTTCGACATATTTTGTCCCTTTTTGGGGGAGGCGGGGGTTGGGTTACCTTTAGACCTTCCATAAAACTTGTACGCAGAAAAGGCGTGCAGCTGTTTCTCATCCTGAGAGCGCAATTTCTTGGGTATGCTTACCGTAAGCGAAAATCCCTGCTTACTGTAGCAGAAAATTCAGTGCTTACGATAAGCATATTTCACGCGTTAGCGAGGAATTTTGACTTCTGCACATGCGTACATCCTGTTACTAGGGATTCTGCGCTTACAGGCTTAGCACATAATGTTTTCTGCTAGTGCAGTTAGCACAGAATGGTCGTCGTAAGCGTGGAAGTATGTGGTTAGCAGAGCCATGAATTGGGCCCAGCAGGTGGTTTCCTCATTTCACCTGTTGGACGTAAGGAAGAACTTGTGAAGCTTCGCATTTTCTCGTTTTTTGGGGGGTGAACTTCTGCGGTTGTTACTTAAATCGTACAAGCAAATAACTCTTTTGATAGTGTAGCATGTTTTAGTGATCGCATGCCGGTTATTGGGACTGGAAACAATTGCTCTTAGTCTTAGTTACTGCAAATAAGCACCTCTACAAAGAAGCACTCCGACGCAATACATTCATCAGCATTTTGTAGGCAGTTCTACTATAATAGATATCTTAGTGTCCATATACATAATTAAATAAGAATAAGTACATAACACAAAGAACTTTTTATAAAGGTGATGATTACTTCTAAAGCTACAGTACTTTGTTTTAAATTGTCTTTTATTGTTTGAAATAATTTTTGTAAATGAAATTTATAGGAGCTGCTGAAGTACTGAAATTCGTTTTTATGCAAATAAATGAGCTAAGTTTAAAGCCTGCTTTAAAGTTTGTTTTACTTCACATTACAAGTAAATAGTAGCCTATTGTTTATTGATCAGTTTATTCGGGCTTGTACTTAATTGGTTAGATATTTGGTGGATTTACACTTCAAAATATGGGCAACTATCCCATTATTTTTTTTAAGCATTCGTCAATTTGTGTATTTTAAAGAGAGCAAAAATACTGACCAAAACTTTGATTTTGTGTGAAAAAAATTGTCCACAGTTTATTGGTGCAAAGTAATAAATGATTTAATTTCGAATGAAATTTTTTTGTGAAGTAAACATATTTTTTTGTTAGTGTTAATGAATGAGTGGTAGATTATAATGATAGAGTGGTAGATTATACTGAAATGTTTCTCTTTTTCATCAAAACAAACTGAAATGATATATTTGCAACGAAATCAGTAGTATAGTTTAATTGGTTACTCCCCCTGAAATATATGTCAATCTAGGGAACGTTTTATCTATAACATGAGTTAATAAACATAACAGTATGTTAAATAACTTCATTTGAACCCTAAAGGGGTCGGGTTATTTTGACCATCTCACAGCCGGGGGGGGGGGGCGGATTCCGCCCCCTCAGATGTCGGCCATCGAGTGAAAAAAAATTGTGAAACTCGGTGCATGCATAGAACAACATTATATGAACATACTCAAGAAATTTCATGGCTATAGGTTATAACGGGTTTTTGGAATTATGGCAAATTAATGACTCATATGCACAATGGAAATTCCGCTTTGTGTACACTATATATTGGGGAAATTCAGTTTTCACGAAAATGTTTTCTGCTGTGCGGTAACCCATTGTCGGAATTTTGTGTTTTGGGTAACAAAAGATGCGGAAGACTCGAGACTAAAAAGTCAAGAAAGCTCAAATTGGGAAATTTTATTTTTTTGCAAGGGTATTGCGGCAAAACGTTGGGGGAGGGGGTTCGGATTCCGCCCGGCCCTTTTAGGGTTAAAATGCGTTTAGAAAATTAATTGTATGACAATACATTGTATAACCATGATTTTATAAACAATGACAGAATACTTTCTAAAATGCAAATTGTTTTGTGTGTCATCCTTTCTTACTGGCACTAGTGTTACCTCCCCCCTCCCCAACAAATACTCAGAATTTGTCAATTTGCTGTTTAAAGGACCTGATTTGTAGATTTTGTTTGGTCATTTGGAATGTTGGGAGATATTTCAGGGAAACTTGTTTAATTTCAATACATTATATGGGAAGGCTGTTCACTTTTTAATTCTTTTGGGGGTGGGGGTTGAAGGGTGTGTGTGTTATGGGTGAGTTCGTTTCATTCAATAGGGGACGTTGAACAATAGAAGACAATAGGGTCCCCAATTCACGAGAGGTCCCCAATTTGGCGACCGTGTTGAAGAAAAAAAAAGCCAAAAAAAAAAAAAAAAGCCGCGTCCCCGCGTCCATTCCGGAACTTTGGTCTGACCAGAGACCGAATATTTTTTTGGGGGGCCTAATGTCTATTTTTATAATGCATTCCTGTTAAGTTTAGTATGAAAAATGATGCAATGGAGCCCATAGATCCTAGGTATGAAAACATGGCGGGGGGGGGGGTCTAAAACTAGCCCCCCCAAAATAAATTCCGTAAAAAGAAATTACATTAGCAAAAGGATTATGATGTACATGCAAACGGTCTCCCCCTAAAGAAATAGTCGTGACAAGGGTGCATTTGTAGTAAATATAGTGTGAATGATTTTAGGATTTTATTGGCGCTCCCCATTGAAAATATGGCACCCCCCCCCCCCCCCCCCCCCCCACCTATTGATTTTCGGAGGCCTAAGTCTCTGGAGAAAATAACCGGTCTACATTTCAGCACGCCTCCCTGAAAAAAATTCTGGATCCACCCTGCTAGCCCCCCCCCCCCCCCAAAAAAATATTGGTTCTAGGACCGCGCCTGAGCCCAATGTTGAACTTTACTGAGTCTGAGGTCTATCGAGGGGACGATCCTTATTTCAACTCCCGGATATTCGCTGGCAGTCTCTATTTTTCTTTTTAAGAAAGTCGAAATAGCTGAAGAGGGAGGTGAGAATCTATATGTGCCCAGATACAAAGAGTAGAAATCTACGCGTCTGCCTTTTGAAAATACACAGTTGCGGTGTTCATTGTTGCGTAATGATCCGCCTAGCACACGACTGTTTTGCACATTAGGCTGTGTTATGCAGCTTCCTAACAAACCAAACACACTGGGCTCATTATATCGACTTGTTTTTACCCCTTAAGGTACAGCAAACGGACCCAGTAATATTCCTGGCGCGTTTGCTCACCTATAAAGACAACTTTTCTCAGTTTAAGGAAAATTCTAAGGTAACGAAATGGCCGAGTGGTTACGATTCGTCGTCCACGGTTAGCGGGGTCCCGGGTTCGAATCCCGCTGGTGTCTTTTTGGTTTTTAACGTATGAGTTCAATTATTCACTATAGGAGATTTAGTTTCCCTTCGTAAAGTACCAACAGTACCTTAGCTTAATCGGTAAGCACTGCTGCTGGTACTGTCCGCGAGTTCCAGGTTGGCGCCTTCGTACAGGTTCAGGGCATGTGGTCCACTCGGAGGATCAGGGCTTAGGGGCCGCCCTGTTCCTCCCTTAGCTCTTTGCTTTTACATGGTGCCTGGCCCTCCGGGGTTATATGGATGGATAGGGAAGGAAGTGTGTATTGGTCGGGGACGCCGAGACCCCGGAAGAGAACTAAGGGATCGGCTGGGGCATTGTTATGGCTCAGACCGATCCCTGAAAGCTTGACTAGCACATAACTTTTTGATTTTTTTACCCTCTATCTTTTATACTTTGGTTTAGTTTGATATCTACAGCTGCTCGGCAGGTATACGGGTAGTATCAAAATTGAAACGAAGGTGTATGTCATAAATCAATAAATATTTCTTAATTGACTATAATCAAAACGGAGTTTCGTTTGATCAATTTGACTATCATTATATAATGACGCGATTGCCAATTGACGTAAGAAACGCCATAAATTATACCGGGAAAGAATAAAGATGTACATTGTAATATAAATATTATTTATACATCTTTCAAATAACGTGTCTTTAATTGTGAGCATTCCAAACAATACAGTAATTCGCAATAGTAATAGAATGGTATATGATAGCACGATCAATGCGCCTCTATTAAATTTCAAAAAATATAATTTAGGCCCCTATGTGTGAAATATTCTTTGATTGACTATGAGCATTCCATACGAATGAGTTAATCGCAAAATATAGCAACAACAGAGAAAGGAAAAAGAAAAAAAAATCCTTTACCCTAAAAACTGGAAATATAATTTGTTTTAAAAAAGTTAAATGGGACACTTCATGTATTGATTTAACAGTTTGCAAGGAGTTAGCCTTACATTTTTAGCAAAATTGGGAAAAATCAGATGTTTCTGGAAAATTGCAGCTAATAAGGGGTTAACCTTGCATTTTTAGTAAAATTTAGAAGTTATGAAACATTTCATATTGTAAGGGGTGAACCTTGCATTTTTTAGCGAAATTGGGCAAAATCAGATCTTTCTGGAACATTTCAGATTGTAAGGGGTTAACCTTGCTTTTGTAGTAAAATTTGGCAAAATAAGATGTGAATGAAAAATTTCAAATTGTAAGGTGTTAACCTTGCTTTTTTAGTAAAATTGGGAAAATTTAAATGTTTATGAAAAATTTCAAATTGTCAGTGGTTAACCTTGCATTTTTTAGCAAAATAGGGCAAAATCAGGTGTTTATGGAAAATTTCAGATTGTAAGGGGTTAACTTTGCAGTTTTAGCAAAATTGGTCAAAATCAGATTTGTATGAAAAATCAAACAGTGCCAAATTAGGGCAAAATCAGATGTTTCTGGAAAATTGCTGATTGAAAGGGGTTAACCTTGCTTTTTTAAGCGAAATTGGGAAAAATCAGGTGTTTCTTGAAAATTGCAGATTGCAAGGGGTTAACTTGGCATTTTTAGCATGACTGGGCAATATCAGATTAAATATAAAAAATCTCAAATTGTAAGGGGTGAACCTTGTATTTTTAGCGAAATTGGGCAAAGTAAATGTTTATGAAAAATCTCAAATTGTAAGGGGCGAACCTTGCATTTTTTTAGCAAAATAGGGCAAAATCGGGTGTTTATGAAAAATGTCAGATTGTAAGGGGTTCACCTTGCATTTTTAGTAAAATTGGGAAAATTGAAGTGTTTATGAAAAATTTCACATTGTCAGTGGTTAACCTTGCATTTTTCAGCAAAATGGGGCAAAATCAGGTGGTTATGGAAAATTTCAGATTGTAAGGGGTTAACTTTGCATTTTTAGAAAAATTAGGCAAATCAGATTTGTATGAAAAATCAAAAATTGTAAGGGGTTAACCTGGCCAAATTAGGGCAAAATCAGATGTTTCTGGAAAATTGCAGATTGTAAGGGGTTAACTTTGCGTTTTTAGCATAATGGGCAATATCAGATTGATATGAAAAATCTCAAATTGTAAGGAGTGAACCTTGTATTTTTAGCGAAATTGGGCAAAATCAGATCTTTCTGGAAAATTTCAGATTGTAAGGGGTTAACCTTGCTTTTGTAGTAAAATTTTGCAAAATAAGATGTGAATGAAAAATTTCAAATTGTAAGGTGTTAACCTTGCTTTTTTAGTAAAATTGGGAAAATTTAAATGTTTATGAAAAATTTCAAATTGTCAGTGGTTTTGTTGCGGTCTCAAAAAGCTACGCCGAACTGGCCTTTCATCCACGGCGTGCACGTAGTGCGTCTGTGCGCGCGCGTGGACTTATCACATTTGTATCAAGATTTATATCTCCCTTGGAAGTTACATCAACTTCTGCCTATGAACAGAACTTTTGGCTTGATGCCAGCAATGGATGGCCAGCTGCAATTTGGGCAATCAATATGTTTACTAATTCCATACCATAGCAACCATCCGTTGATTAACAGAGAGTTTGAAACTCAGCCAGCCGTGTGTTCGTGGAGAATAATGTATTTTATCTTTCAGTGATAAAATGAATTTTTTAGCAAAATAGGGCAAAATCAGGTGTTTATGGAAAATTTCAGATTGTAAGGGGTTAACTTTGCAGTTTTAGCAAAATTGGTCAAAATCAGATTTGTATGAAAAATCAAACAGTGCCAAATTAGGGCAAAATCAGATGTTTCTGGAAAATTGCTGATTGAAAGGGGTTAACCTTGCTTTTTTAAGCGAAATTGGGAAAAATCAGGTGTTTCTTGAAAATTGCAGATTGCAAGGGGTTAACTTGGCATTTTTAGCATGACTGGGCAAT